AACCAGTCGTTTTGTTGCCGAATCGGCTGATCTCAGCAGACTCATTTTCTTTTCTCTCACTTCCCACGCCGACACTCCCGTTACCATGGTCTTCTCGTATCGACGCAGTGTGCGCTCCACGTTCACGCCAGCACAAATTGCTGGGTTCTTCTTTTAACCGTGCCGCGACGAGTTTGATGAAGTCATCCTCGAGTACTACCGCTGTCGTTGCGGCACGGTTCGAAAGCAGGCTAGCCGCAATGACTTTTCCAACCTGGTATCGCAAGTTCAAAGCGAGCACCCAACCCATGAGAGCCTCATGCTCGCCGCCAGCTCGCCCGAGACGGGGTCTATCCTCAACTACGTGCGGCGCTCCTCTCTCAATCTATTCAGCTGGATGGAGTGGATCCTAAAGAGCAATCTTCCGCTGTCATTCTGTGAGAATGAGGCGGCCAAAAGGTAAGTCATACGCATTTCTAAAGTTGCCTATGAATTTCTAACTTCTGTTTCTATTTGCTTTCTATAGGTACTCTAACCTTGACTCAATTTGTGTCGAGACGCTCGTCTCTGGCATGAGTAGTGTGACGCGGGCCGTGGAGCGTTGCATCGCTGAAGAGATGCCTGACCTTTTTGGGCTAATCTTTGATGGGCGGTCTCATGCTTCAGAGCATTACATTGCAGTGTACGCTCGCTACGAGGTGGACGGGGTCGTCAAGACTCCTCTTCTTTGTATGGCTCCACTGTTCAACGAGGTGGAGGAAGACCTCTCCGCCCGCGGCCACATGGCGTTTCTTGCCACTATGCTGCCTCGGGACTACTGCAAGCAGCTGGGCCAGTGCTGTTTCCTGGTGGGAGACAACTGCTCGATTAACCGGCGGCTCCCAACGCTGATGGGTGTGCCGCTAATCGGCTGTGCCAGCCACCGCCTTAACCGAGCAGTGCAAGCTGACATGCAAGACTATGAGGACGAGCTGGATGCTTTCCAGAAGTTAATGATCAAGCTTCGTAACCTGAAGCAAAGTGCCAAGCTGAGGTAAGTTTGAACTGATAATGATGTAGTTAGAAACGTTTCTAATTTGATTTCTAATTTACATGTAGAACTAAAACGCCGCTCCGTCCAGTTATCCGCCAAGATACTCGATGGAGCTCCACTTTCGCTATGGTGATGCGGTACTTCACACTGCTGGAGTTTATCGACAGCAATGACGACGACATCGCAGATTTGCTGCCGTCCCCTTCGTACAACCGCCGTTTGCGTGCTCTGCTAGCAGACTTGAAGAAGGTCGAGTCCGTTGCAAAAGCTTTGCAGGGAAACAAAGTATCACTACTTGATGCTCGAGTGTGGCTGGATGGCTTGATTTCCATCAAACCACACTACGCTCGGTACATTGGTACGTGCAGCATATTTTTTCCTTTTCTAGTATTCATTGCTAATTTGTTTTGTATTCACTATGAACACTAGGCCCACGCGCTGAAATTGTTCACAGCCCTGACGTTGAGTCAAGGTGTGTACGGGTCTTAGGCGGCAATGCAGCCCGCCTCACGCGAGCTGAAAAAACAGTGTTGACTCCGTTCAAGTCGACAGGCCCTCCTGCAGTGAGTGAAGACGAGGACGACGGCGAAAGGTTGTTCGTCCAGCTGCTTCAAAAGCGACGCCGACTTGCCGCGAAGGAGATAAAGTACAAGCTCTTGCATGCAATCCCTGCGACGTCCAACGTGGTGGAGCGCTTTGTTAGCGTTGCTCGTACCACGTTTGGCCAAGAACGCCATAGACTGCAGCCCATTACTTTAGAAATGATTCTCTTCCTGCGCGAAAATGCTGGTTACTGGGACGCACAAACACTTGACACAGCAACTCGAGCGTAGATACCTGTTATTGATTCAATAAACCTTGGTTATTGCAGCAGTAACTCAATTATTTATGGTCTTCTAGCTAAAGCATCATAACGTTTTGCCAGCATACAAGCTAGTTTCGCGATAATTTATCGTGAAGATGCTACTACGATAAATAACAATATCATTTTCGGACCCCCTGCAGCTGGAGCTGCTGCTTTGGAGATGAATACTTGCGTTTCCCGACTAAAGATGACATCTCGCGGCTTTTAGTGCTTTGTTGATTGTTGGTATCTTAGGCAGCTTAGACTGCATGCATTGGAGCCGGAAAAACTTCCCGACCGCATGGGCAGGGCAGTTTACAGGTAAGGAGATGTCTCCGACCATCATATTGGAGGCAGTTGCTTCTTAAGATTCATGGCTTTGGCACACGTTTTTCGGTGTGCCGAGGTCGCAAAATGATATTGACGTTTTGAACCATTCTTGTTGTTGAGATCTTAATGAAGGTTATGCAAGTGGCAGGCGCAGCTGGGGTCGGTGGTGTCGTTGAGAGAGCTAGCGCAGTCTGAGCGAGCTCAATAGCCGGTGTTGGAGGGGGGGGGCATGGGAAGCGTTGGCTGGCCCGAGAAAAATTGTCCTGTATGGATTTTGCTCAAGAACATACTCAACAATCTCTATGGGGCCACATTTTCTCAAATTGGAGGTCTGCGTGTGTTTTCAATAGATCTTGACGAATTTTACTCAGGCTGGTGCAGCTGCAAAAATAAAGTATGCACAATCGGTTGAGATGCTCTAACATTTATTGTGGTTATCATCAATTCTACCGCAACGATTTGCTGTGTTATCTCGGGGGCCGCTTTCAATAACACGAACTGAGGGTAGGAAAACCGGGTTCGATTTAGCTATATCTGATCCGACATAGGAATTCAATGATCCTATGACCACATTCCTATACCTTGCACGACAACGGTCAAGTTTGGTAAAGGAGGATTGGTCACCGAAATTATCAGATCGTAACTTTTCATCCAGACCGAATTTTTCGATAAGGTTCTCTTTACGTGAAAATTCGCTGCGAGATGTGTTGATTGCTCTGTTCGACCAATAATTGATGAGATATGGGCTTTCAAAATTCATGACTGGGCAAAATCCATGTCATCGTTGTCGTGCGACCATCAGTCATCACAACAGCTGATAAATTACGAATACGCATCCGTGATTGGTCAATATATTGCTAGAATTACGGTTTATCGCATTTTTCGCCTTTGAAGGTTTGATATATGTACGCTACACAAAATCGTTGATGGCACATCCTGAACATAGAACAGCCACATGACCATCTGTATGCGATACATATTGGAACCCGTCAGAAACACTGCAGGAAGAAGAACTTTGCGACCAGCAGCAGGCTCTGCGCAGTCCATCGTCCGACGATTGTCGAGACCGTCCGTAATGACGACGACCAAGGTAGGCGGGGGGCGCCGCCGCATGAAGCAGATGCAGGGGCTGCTGCTGCTCTCGCGGCTGGACGAGTCGCTGACGCGCCGCCACCGGTCGGGGAAGATCAAGCCGCAACGTGTGACAGTGGTCCTACAGCCTCAGATGCTGGAGCTTGCTTACTCTTCACTGGAGGATCAGGACATGCTGCGTCCACTGGGGCGCGTGGACTTGCGTGACGCCAAACTGGAGCAGGTTCCGGACGGATTCATCATCTATGAGGCCGGCTACGGGCCTCGGAAGGTCGACAGATTAGTACTGAAGGTTGAGCTAGGTAGATTGTTTGCTGACTGACTACTCCGGTGCAGATGCTCAAGCTTCAGGACAAGGATAAGGCCACCACTGACGCCTGGTTCTTTGCCGTTTACTCGGCCATCACGGAGTATGAGCGCCTGCCGATCAGCGCTAGCGAAGACGTCGGTCACAGATTCTCAGCTGTACTCACCTCCAGCATGCGCGACGAGCACACGGAGACGGTGGTGCGTGATTTTCCGCCGTCGGATTCAGTAATGAGGAGTCAGATGCTGCTCGATCATATACTGACTGTGTCTGTTCGAACCAACAGGAGTTCGAATTGTCGTGTCAGTTGGTGCTGCCTGCACGTCCCATCGACATGCCCAGCATCAAGTGGAAGGTCTGGAAGACTTTTTCTGAGCTTCAAGCATTTGATGAGTGAGTGTTATCGCGGCTGAGTTCGCTTTGAAAAGTTTGCTAACTTGTTGTTTTCCTGCTCATAGTGAGCTACGCGTCTCGTTCGGCGCACACATGACGCAGATTACGTTCCCAAGAGACCGCAGACGCGATTCACTCTTTGGTGGCATGCGCAAGAAGTCGTTGCAAGAGCTAAAGGAGCAGCAGCTTGCTCTTTACGTGGAGCAGGTTTGTTCTCATGGTCACTTGGAATTATCTACTTAAGTTATTGACAGCCATGGCTATTTCTCTGTAGGTGTTTCAGATGCCAAAAATTTCTACTGAACCGACACTGGTTGGCAAAGTGAAACAGTTCCTCGGTTTCGACTCCTTCTTTGAGATTGTCGTAAGTTAGTGTTGATTGTTAATGACTCTGAGACTCGGATATTGATATGCTTCTTTTAGGAATCCTCGTCGAGTGAAAATGGAGAGGATGACAACGACTTATCGTACGCGCCTGTCAATCCCGATCCCATACTAGAGCCTCAGGTTTCAAAGTTTGCCGAAACTGAAGAAATAATCAGTGAAGTGGTGCAGCAGCCACTATCTCATGAGCCACAGAGTGTTGGTCAGTCTGCAGTTGAGCCGCTGAGCAACGATTCCAATGCACCTTCCTCCCAGTACTCGAGCACTGAATCCGCCCGTGCATTGCCGGGTTTGCTGAGAAGAACAAGCTCAGCAGCGGCTGAAGACGAGGGTGAGGAGTATGTGGAAGTCATTCCAGAATCTGACCCGAAGACGGCAAAAAAACTCCATAAGAAGATCATTCAGACCGTCCGTGAGCTTGTCTCTTGCGATGAAGAACGCGTGCAGGACTTCCAGGACCAGACGAGAGATTTTGGTCGAGAAAAAACGTCTGCTATGGAGTATTGCGCCTTTCTCCTAGGTGCAGTGGGCGCGCAGGAGTGCTGCAAACTCATCCCGGAAATGGCAAGGCTGCTTCCCGATGAAGTGAAAAGGGAGGAATTAATGCAGGCTCGAGCCGCTATCTGGCGGCGAACCCATAGACGACATCGTAGGCGCTCCAAACAATTTTCAGAAAGCGTTGTGCTGCAAAAGCAAAAGGAAGAACAACAGCAGATCGATTCCATGAACAGTAGGGTGCGTCCGAAGTCTGAAAGCCTCGAAACGATGACGGAGCACGTTCATCCTCTTCAGATACCTGTGCGAAACTCGATGGTCGAAAGGCCAATGTCAGCAATGGACACTGAGTCTCATACCGAACAGGACAATAGCCCGCCTGCAATTCCTGCGCATCGTGCTGGTCTCGCTGACCCGCGACGGCATCTCAACCGCCGTGCTTCATTCAACACAATGTTTGGCGAGACGTTGCCGATTGAGGAGGAGGAGAACCCAGCTGAGAATGAGTCGGATGATGAAAGCGTCGACAGCCTACTGGATCGACCTCGTACCGTGATCAAAGAGACCCCATCGAAGATTGAACACGCGAGAACGACGCCTTTGGGCCTCGGACGCCGCAACTCGTCATTCCTGGATGGAGATGAAGATGATGAAAGTACTGAAGATGACGAAGAGATCCATCCCAGCGGCCGCTCTCGCCGTTCTCGCCACAGTCGCCACCGCCAACAAAGTGGAAGTGGGAGCGGTAGTCTGGAGACACGGAGAGTGAAAGAGAGACCACTATCTCGTGGGGGCTTGACGAGATCATTATCTCGACAGAATTCCTCTTTTATTGGGGAAAGTGATGAGGACGGCAGCGGTGGTGAGGGGGAAAATAGCCACACGCGATTCCGCAGAAGCCAACGCCGTGCGAGTCGTAAATTTGACGAAGAAGCCAAATCCGGGCCTGTGCCCGAGGAGGAGAACCCCGTTCTGGCGCGTCTCAAGAAGCAAGGGGCTATAAACTTTATGGCGCAGCTTCGCTAAGGGGCCGTGTGCATATTGTATACTTCGAAGTAGGTAATGCTGCGTATGATTCGATTTTTAAGAACTTTCAGGCTAAATCCTTAAAGTTTGGTGCCCGGCTCAAATTGTCTCCTGGTGCAACATCAGCCATAGTTTAGCTGCTAAAGTTAGTAATCGGCGCGGTCATCCCATTTATAGCATACCGGTAATGACAGTGGTGGTGCACTTAACAAGCGCCTTGTCGACGAGAATCAACGTCATATTCGATCGCTGCCATGGCAGCGATCTCAAGTGATGAACTGCAGGATGCCTGGGAGAAGGTGAAGGCCATGTCAATACTTCCAGAGGTAATTGCGGGCTCAATTGGTCAAAAGAATCTTTATCACTAACGCTCCATTCAAACGTAGCCTCCCGAGCCGAAGCTTCCCATTTTTGGGCCCAAAGTGCCCATGAAAACCAAGCTGCATACTATTCAGAACCTCATAACTTCTCTTGAGTAGGTGGAGATGATTGGCTGGGCGCCCCGCTATCTTACCGAGGTTTGTTGTGGTGGTCAGATACAACTACACGGGAACTTTGTACTTCGACGTGAACAAGAATCGGAGCTTTAAAAGTATCGTAAATACTGCAAAAGAAATCCTCAAGGAGGGTCTGCCAATCCAGTGTCTAGAAGCAGTGTTCTTGGGGGCCTATATGACTGCAGGCTTGCCGAATCTCGAGCGATTTCCGATCAGCTTTAAGACGGCCGCGGGCAAATCAACGCACCGCCACATCATTCTTGGCATTCATCACCAACAACAAAAATGGGGAGCATTGGGTCTAAGTCGATGCGATAAGCTCATGAACAAGGATTTAAAGTTCGAGTCGTTGAGCGATCTGGTGCTGGATTTCTGCCGTGAGTTTGAAAACGTCTACCACAAGGTGTTAAGGGTCAACTTAGGTTTCCCTTTCACCCACGACATTCATTCATCGGAGCGAGTTGAATGGCGGGTTGGTCGCTTTTTTCATTTTCACTCTGGTATCAGCTATCGATAGTAAAGGCTGTCTTCTTGTGAACATTGCAGGTGCTCAATCTCCCAATTGATACGAACAATTGGACGGAAGTTGCAAAGCAGTTGGACGGCTTTGGAAAAGATGCCGCCGAAATTGAGAGTTTCAAGAAGGCTAAAGGCGTGCTCCCAGCGTGGTTTGGAACCAGATACGCTCTTAGCGCTCCAGAAATGGAGATTGGGCGCTCACCACGAGCAGCCCAGCGCCGCAACTCGTTCTCAGATGATTTCAACATGTTCGAGGAAGAATTCGAGACTCAAGAACCTTCACAGCCGCAAATGCTAAGGACGATCCCCAAGCACATAATTGTGACTCCAGACGAATTCACGTTTAAAAAGCCATCGACCGTAAGTAGTTCCCTTTGCCTTTCAATAATCTCCTCTTTCTTCTAAATTACCATGTTGTAGAGTACCGCGCCAACTCCACCGACAAACATTTTTCTACAGAACACGTCGCCATCGCCATATTTGATTGAGATTGAGGACAGATCAGGTCTCCTGGAAATTGTCACCAAGACACAGCCCACCTTGCAACGTGACGAAACCAACCCAGAGGTCCACCCTACTAAGGCTATATTCCGCGTTTCGGCTGTACGCTTGTACTGTCTTCATTGAACCTGTTAGTTGAATCGGAATCTCACATTTGTATTTCTCCTCGAAATGGGTTTTAGAATGGGATGATCGCCGTGGCTATCAAGTACAACCCTCATCGACCTGCGACTAAAAAGTCAACGTCTCCAGAGAAATCTCCGGTCAAGAAAAGTATCAACGGGAATTCAGATGAACCTGCAGTGAGTGAACCATCCCACGTCGTCTCGTTCCGCTGCATGCCTGATAAAGTTGTAGACGCGGTTCCAGACGAAGAACCGTTCACACTCGAAACACCCTTTGTCTTCAAGGAAATTTAGACTCGACAGCGAGATTTCTTCTTACTCATTCAGCAGTTCTACAACACGTCGTATGTGTAGATACAAAACGTCTATTAGTTTCCCCGCCTTCTATCTGCAGTCTAATTCGTGAGGAACTCAATGCCCTTCTCAAACACAACAGCCATGACGGCGAAGCCTGCCGCGCCCTTGGCGGTGTTTTGCACCAGCACTACAGCCACAACGCAATCAGCAAAAGTTACATGGGGCAACAAGTTGAAGTTTATTGCACATCAGCTCACCTTTTGGCCCCGAACTCCGTGCTGCCCAAGCGCCCAGTGCTCCGCCTGATACTCCACCGGCCAAGAGGGGGTTGAAGATGTCGTTCGCCGCACGTTCGCGCTCGATCACGCACTCGACGCCGGCAAAGATACTTCCCACCAGTGCAAACTCCTGTCCACCGTAGTAGCACATGAAATACGCTATGAGTTTTCCTTTTCAATACCGGATCTCAGGAGTCAGTCCCACGTGCCTTGGAAAAGTATACGCTGCGCACATAACCCGCCTTAATGGACTTGCTGAAGCCATTGAAGAGCTGTAAGTCAGTAGTTATAGCAAGTTTATTAGTACGCTCCTTTTGCTTTTAGGTCGCGAGCAATTGCGCTTACCTGCTCGCGCATATTGCGTCCAACTAGTTCACCGTGAGCACCTTCAAACGTGCCGAGAAACGTGCCGAGACCCACGCCCATTGCCGCACCAGCTATGCACGCCACCACACTACGCTTCCAGCAGCTCTCACGAGACTCCTCTGCGAACTTCATGGCGCGGTAGGCGGCGATCTGTCCCATACTTGGTCCACGCGAGTCGTCCATGATGCTCCGCTGTCCCAAAACCCAGTCACATTCTGTCAAATGATAATCATTTATGATTAAATTATGAATTGATACTTACTTCATGCTGTAGAGGATTAGAAAAAAATACTATTTGGTTTCGCAGTGTAAGCGTTATCGTAATAAAAACAAAGCTCTGTCAGTCGTCAGCCAAAAACGATCAAGTCCCAAGCGGAGGAGACAAGACGATGCGAATGCGCCTACGGGCGCCGGACGAGCCCGAGGCGGAGAGCAACTACGACTTCGGCGACGATAACGCCAGTGCGCCGTCTACGCCAGAGCGTAGTCTCCAATTGCAGCCGTTGGATGTACGCTCGCCTGAATACATCGAGGAACGGCTGGAAAACCTCAAGCGCCGCCCTAAGTGGGTGGACTTCCTGGATCAGTACGTGCAGGATCACTCAGACAGCGACAGCGAAAATGGAGACTGGGAGGGCAATTCGACAATCGATTCACCTGGCTTCATCCGGTCGACACTCTGGTCGCTGTCAGTGGTGGCCTTCGCGCCGTTGCTGATCCTCTGTTCCCCGTGTTTAAGGAACAAAAGCTACGGGTGAGAATTTCTTTGATCATATTGAAAGGGTGGTATTTATACAATTAGAAAGCTAACTTTTGGTGCAATTCTCATTGTCATGGGTAGATTCTGGCCGTTGGAGTGTCGCTCCATGAACGAACTCTTCGGCTGTGCAGTGGCCAATATGATTTTTATAATATTTGGACTTGTGTTGCTCTACTGGACGATCTGTCGAGACTTGCCAGACATTTTTAAAGTGGACAATACGTTGGTAAAGCTGAACGTACAGATTGATGAGATGCAGCGAGCGGCAGAGACTTGTCACGCTGCGCTACTCCAGTGGGAAAGGACCGTCGCACAGGAGCTGTGCATGCCTGTGGGTATTGATATAGCACTATTGCTGCTGAACACGTGGTTGCTACTACATTACCATAGACGATGGGCGAGATACCTCATGGCGCTGATGGCGGTGATGTTTGTGGTGGATGTGCCTGCCCAACTGTATGACGCCACTTTTCCAGCACCGGAGATTCACAAGATAGACCCAACATTCGCCCTGTTGGATGAAGAACTGCTAGTTGCTTTGGATGGGAAGAATTTGAAGCCAGGAGGAAGCGTTGGTTGGGTAGCGTACTGGGGATGCGCTACTACCTCGAGCGTTGACGCGTGCGAGAAGCAGTTTGTATCCACGTTTGAAGCAGGAAACGTGGCCGTGACTTTCAAGTCGCTGGATCATTTCATTCCGTGCTATCGCGACCCTCCTAATCCACTCAAAGCACAGGACTATCAGTGCTTTGAAGATGTTCGCATTCGCGTGAAGGATAAGCAGAGCATTCCCGGTTGGTCACGATCAAGTTTACAGGCTTTATCTACTGCTCAAGTCGAAAGAGATGAATTATCGCTGAACGATGAATGGCAGGATAACTTGAAAGCCCCTTCTCTCACGTCGGAAAGGCCAATGGATCACGATGCAATCAAGCCGACACACACGATGGCGAAGTCAAGTAAGGCCGCCGTACCCGATATTTCAGCAGCTACGAAACCGTCTCATGAATCTCTCTCGACAGCGAGCGATGAAGAGGTTAGGCTCAATGAAAAGGATGAATCAACTAACAGTCAAGAAGACATAGGTATGTCAGAACCTGAACCAGAAGCTACGAAGGCAGATATCGGAAATGAGAAGATGGAAGAGGTTGAGGTGACATCTGATGCGGACGTGAAGAAGGTTCACATCAACGTCGACCTGGAAATTGCGCCACCGATAGAAATTGCTGTGTCGTCTGTGGAGACTTCGCTAAGGCCATCAGCGGACACTGAAGTGGTGCAGGCTTCAAGTGATAACCAAGTGGAAGCCGAGGTGGTGACGCCCAAGAGTCAAGCACTAATGGTTCCAGCGGACAAAGTCCAAGAAGAACTATTGAATGAGAATACATATAGAACAGGGAGCACCAAACGTGAACTGGATACCGCCCACGGGTATTAAGTCAGCTCCACAAAAACACTGCGAGAAAGAATAAAAACTTTTTTTTTCACAGTATTTATACGACAGAAGCCGCTTCCGATGAATTTTGGGCTCCTGTGACCGCATCTCGCAAAACTTCGGCCAAGCGGTAGAACTTGGCGCCCTCGATCTGAGCGTTCTCGCGGTTTGCTTCACACAATTTTTCCTGCAAGACAATCTGTTGTTGCATGTGCTTTTCTCGAAGGGCCAGCTCACGTTCGCGCAGTTCGACCTCCTTTTTAAACCGCATCTTCTCAAACTCTAGCCGCTCACGGTCCAACGCGATCTGCTCTGTCAAATGTTTTTCATAGTCGAAATGCGTGTTACGATTGTTTGCTGACCCCGATCCAGAACTCGATGCTGCTCCAGAAGCTGCAGACAACGACGTATTAGTTTCTGGACACATATAATCGATGATATGCTCAGGCGACCGACCATTGTACGTCTGAAGACGGTGTCACAAAGCCATCAGTGAATCAAAGCAACAACACAACAGTCAGAATAGCGATTATATAAGCGAACACACCCACCAAACTCACCAAGGACGCTGTCATCTGCGTACTGTTTTGACAACCTCCACTGAATCCAGCGGGGATATGTCCATTATGTGCCCCTTGTGCTGCCGCATGTTGCGCTTCACTTATCGCTGAAGCTTGCGCATGTGACTGAGCGTAAGCCATGTCCGATTCTGCATGGAGCGGTGGGCCTCCGAGTACCACGTCGTCTACCATTGGGAGATGGTCGTACGTCTGCAAATCACCCTGCAATTGCAGATAGCGAGCTCTCGTATTCTCTTGTTTAGGTAGCGTCTCATATTCTGCCCAGCGCCGTGGGTGAGCACCCTGCAAATGGCTTCGGATATTGTCGACACGGAAGGCTCGAAAGAACTTGGTGGTGGTCAGCGAGCGCCTGCGCCGCTTCTTGGTGTCGTTTCCAGACTCCTGGTCCTGCTGCACCAGCTGATCGTACTTCCCTTCACGTCCAAAAGCCTTACAGAAACCACACATGGCCAGCAGTACATCGTTTGAGACCGGGTCCCGCTCGATAACCATCAGTCCAAATTCCATTTCGTACTTCGGCTGCCAGTTGTGCCGCCGCGACTGCCTGCTCACGGCTCGTCGCTTCTGTGCATCCTTATCCTCATCCTCCCCGTTGTCGTCACGCTTGCGCCGCGTGCCGGTGAGATGTGCATTGTCCTCGAACTTCTCGAGCGGCACCAGGAGCTGGTCACTTGTGACGCGGGTCTCCATCGCTTCGTTTGGTGGATTTAAAATTATGTACAGTATGTGGCTCACAAAACTTACATGTGAAAAAGATGACTACACATTTTTTCGATGAACGCGATTGGGTAGGCAAGTTGAAGTTATCTTAGGCCTTATGAAATGAGGAACTCATCAAGTAGGAAGTGAGTTTTAAGTTAACATAGTCTCTAGTTTGTCGCAGAGGTCGTGTAGTAGTTACTAGACCGATCGCTACACATAGGCTGCAAGGTTTAATTCTCCACGACCTGCCAGCGTTCAGTACCACAGCACGGGATGCCCCAGAACGACAAAGAGATTTATAAACTATATTGTGACAAATGTAGTCCTGTAGTATCCTGGAAATATAATTTAAAGAGTAATTCAACTTGAAGAAATATTACCTATTTTGGGTTCGCACCCATTTTAAGCCTTCGTACTCCGAAACCTCGTACTCCATTGTTCTTCCCAATCAAAGTTGAGCAACTAATCGTCCGTGGACAGCATGGCGTAGATCTTCTCAGCAATTTCCTTCACCGATTCTCGCGTAGGGATGTTGTGGGCAATCTTATCGCTACATCATTGCGCTCGACTCATTTATGATTCTGGAGAAACACCAGACTTTGTAGTTCGTGGCGACGCTGTAAGCTGTGGACAGTCCTTCGACATCCGACAGTATTCACTTCCAACGTAGGCTTACGCGAGTCCTTGTATCATGTTATTTTTCTTCGCGTCGACGATGCATAAGCGTTTGCTGCCGCGCTTAATCACGAACTCAAACTTCCGGTATCCGTAAGGCCGCTTCCCCACATCGCTCTCCTCGGCAAGAATTTGGACGTCCCCGCTGATAAGCGCACACACGCAGGCAAGAACAGGAGTATTGAAGTGCAGTCGATTCGCTTCTGTTCCAGTCACGACTTCTCCAAATGCCTTCGTCACGATGAGGACAGCACATCAATTTTGTCGTCTTCATTGATTGCTCCGCCGGCATTATTTTGTTGACATCTTTGGAACGACACGTACAGTGTGAGTAATAGAGGACTCGCCATCCATTATATTTGCCTTCTTGTTGTCGTCAAGTATTTCGCTTAGTGCATCCCATCTTCTTTTGCGAGTCGGATGGGGCTTTTTGTTGGCGGATTTGCTGACCCGGAGCGGCAACCAACACACAGATCCCGTCTTCCCCAGCATCGCCTTCGTCTGAAAAATTGAACGCAGAGTTGCTAATTCGATACCTTGGGTCCATTTTATTCTCCTGATGATATCATAATTCCTTTGGGAACATCGCCATTCTCCAACATCGTCACATCAGGATCGTCCGTCTTGAGCCAGTTGCCGCCCTTCTTCGTGACGTATACCGGTAGTGCTAATTGGTCCGCAGGGAAGTCGTACACTTTCTTCTCCTTGATCATATCCTTCAAGATTCCGACCTTCTTGTGCTCATTAATTTCCACCACGAAGCTTCCGTCTCCGACCACCATACCTTATAAGCAAATTATTTTAGATAATCAGATCACAACACTGGAATTATTTTTTTTCCAGACAAATATATTGCTCAATACAGATGAGCCCTTCCGGGTCTTGCATGCATTAAAAGTCATAGAAGTTCTCGAGTGTCTACGTGCATATGGCTTCTTAAAAATAATTAGCTAAAATAGAAGGCCATCATCATCATCATACAGCGGAAGTACTGTAAGCGCTGGCACTTACGCTTGTGGACGTGGCACGTGCCAACGACGCGGCGGTATATTACATACACAGTAATCCCAGCGCCTGGAATAACCTCTGCCAGGAATAATAGCGTTATGGACATCGGAAGGGTTCATGTATCTTCTCTAGCTTTACGAACGTGTATATTGTAGGTTGTTGTCATGAAAATATGACCTGAACATGGCTCGTGTTGTACCTGTTGCACTTCTATGGTGGTGGATGATTTCCGCTTATAATGCAATCGGCTGCAAAAGCGAGAAGCTGCCCGTACCCACACGCGGCGGCTGGCCTAGAACAATACGAGCCGATGGACTCTCTAGCTTGTCCACCAAACCACCCAGAGCAGCCTGGGACAGGAACTTCATGGACGTTTCGAACGTAATCTGCTGCAGTGATGAGCCCTTGTTGTTCATACCCATACGGTTGAGCGGCATGTAGCCGCCCTGTGCGGTCATGTAGTCAGCCAGCAAGCTCAAATGACGGGGGTCGACACTGATTCCATACACGCCGAACACCTCCATAATTTGCTTGGAAATACTTGCACGAGCAGCCTCAACACCGTACGTCTGTAGCACCTGGTATATGTCGTTGGTTGCAAGGTTGTTGACATCCAGGATGTGGTCGAAGCCCCAGATTTCCTGGAAGTTAAGACCCTCCGTCTGTACGCAAGGCTTCTCCTCCTGCGCCTCGCCGATGCGCTGGTTAATCAGGTAGCATCGCGAAATGCCTGGGCAGTACTGCACCAGCACCTGCTTGGCGACTCTTTCAACAAGCGGCACCATCAACAGCGTCTTAGAATGCGTCGGGAAACGCAGGTGCAGCTCCACGTAGTTCTCCTTGTCGTTGCGTCCGCAGAAGACGAAGTACGGGTTCTTGCGTACGCTGTTCGGGACCTCAAGGGAATCCATACCATCAGCGGTGAAAGTCTTTTTTTGGTGCTTCTTGGACTTCTTCGCAGAACCATTCTCCATGGACTCGTCATCGGACGTATCAGCGCCATTGTTCTTCTGGTTGCCCGAAGTCTCATCATAGGAATCAATGTCCGAGTCATCTGCCATCTGTGCCTTACGAATCTTCTCGTCCTCCTCGTCCATCTCACCATAGCCCTGCACTTCACCACGGCTGCCAAAGCGAAGCGTACCCTGTTCATCGTCATCATCTTCGTCGTCATCGTTCTTTTTCTTGTCTGCGCCAGAAGGAGCCTTGAAGTTGTTCTTCTCCGCCGCAGCAGAAACAGTCACACCGCTCTTCTTCATTTCACGAGAAATTAATGTAAGCAGCTTACCGACGAAGCCTCGACCAACCGAGTTGAACACCTGGTCGGCACTCAATCCGAACACGCGCTTGATCTCCTTAAGCTTGAAGAAACTTAGGCGGATCTGGTAATCGCGCACCCACAAAATGCCGTTTTCGCTGCTGTGGAACTGGTCCTTGACACGAACACCGTTGGTATTGTTAATGAGCTCTGACAGAGCGACCTGGTTTAGACGCTGCTCCACTTCTTGTGCCCGGGACGACTCGACATCGTCGCGCAGAGGGATCGTCATCATAGGAGTAGACATCTTCTGACTAGCTGTCATGATAATTTCACGCAAACGAGGAATACCCAGCGTCACGTTTGCGGCACCGTGACCAGCAAGATGGAACGTGTTAAGCGTCATCTGTGTCGACGGTTCACCGATACCCTGGGCAGCCAGGATACCCACGTTCTCACCAGGAGCGCACATACTGCGCAAGTAGTTCACCCACACCAGAAGTTGGAAAGCGTCGGGGCTCACGGCGTGCTTCGACTGCATGACCTCCCGGTCAACTTCGTCATCAGCAGCGTGCTTACTCTTCTTCGACTTCTTGCTCTTCTTCTTCTTTTTCATCAGCTCGAGGCAGTTGGACGGGTTGCGCGTGTTATAGTTGCGCAGTTTGTCCTGAATACGCTCCGAAATTAAACCAACGTGCTCGCTCAGAGGCAAACTCTGCATCACCGGATCCTCAAGCGACACCTTGATGATGTCTACCCGACCAGACATAGCACGAGTGGCGTTGGTCGGCTTGGTGGCCTTGAACTTGGCAGTGCGAGGAACACCGAACGACTTCAGACCAGTGTCCAGGTATTTGATGTCGTACTTGCACTCACGTCCGTCCTCGTTTGCCCCGGCCACCGCCACAATCTCAGCAGCATGGAAGCCTAGCTCAATGTTGCCACGTTTCCACTTGGTCTCGCCCTGTTTCAGACGGCGGGCCATAATCTTCACACCAGCCTTCAGCAGCGAGGACGAGCTGCCGTAGTTATTCTCCTTAGCCTCACGAACCTCCTGGTGTAGCTTTAGCGGCTTCATAATGTCCAGTTTGGTCTTTTCGAAGAACTTGGCATTAATACCGTACTTGTGTGAAATACTGCGGTGGTTCATCGCCTGGAAGTCGAACTGTGTGTCCTTCCCAGACAGCATGGCACTTTGCACCGGGTCAATACCATCTTCACCGTACAAGAACTGGATCACGCCTCCATCGCTGTTGCGGACAGTGTGATCGTAGCCAACGTTTAAGTCTTCCAGGTGCTTGATCAGACAACGCTGTAGGTAACCACTGCGACTGGTCTTCACAGCGGTATCGACAAGACCTTCACGGCCAGCCATACAATGGTGATAGTACTCCTGAGGACGCAAACCAGTAAGGAAGCGATCTGTAACGTAACCACCAGCGCGCGGAGCAGGGTCGAAGGGCTCGAACGACGGAAGCGATCGACCACTGCACAGAATAGGCACACGACGACCTTCAAGGGCCTGCTGACCAAGACCACAGGAAATCTGTGAGTGGTTCACCATGGAGCCCTTAGCACCAGTCAGCACCATCAGAGAGAAGTTGTTCTTCGGGAACGCCTTGGACTGACCGGACGGCAGACACGTCTTGATAATGTCACTGTTCGATCCGTGCACGCAGCCCATCATGTGAGCATCAAGAGCCTTAGCGTTGTAATCTGCGTCAGGCCCAGACAGCAGCGTACGCATTCGATCGCGGATCTGGGCGCGCTCCTCCTCGTTCATGCGACGCTTCTTTCCAGCCTTCTCACCTGCTCGCTTCTTTTCGAGCAGCTCAGTAAGACCAGCAAACTCAGCATACGCCTCCTCGCCCATGACTTCAGAGTCCTTGACCAGCTTTTGGCGGCGCTTCTCAGCTGCGATGTTTAGCGTCAGATCCTCCATAGCACAAGTGTGTCCAGCAAATTGCAGGTAGCACGTGAACAGACGACCAAGCGCAGAAAGGAAATCGGCGGCAATACGGGCACCATACACTTCGTAGCATGCGTGAACCATACCATACATGCTCGCACCAAACTGACTTTTGTCCAGCACACCCTGAAGCAGCTCGCCATCGCGAAATATCACAACGTGCTCGTTGTTCGCCGAGCCGTACAAGTCGCCCTTAATCTTCGCCTTGCTGTCCAGGTTCAGAGGCGGGAGGCCCTTTGTCAGAAGCTTAAGCACCGAGGTGATAACCTGCTTGCCCGTCCAGAGGGGCTCCGGCTTGAGAATAGCAGGCGGCACAGTCTCAATGTGCGCCTTCTCCACACCAGAATCCTCCATACTAGCCCAGGCATTGTACAGTAGCTGCATGTACATGTCTTTGTTCAAGAACGTGTCACGCTGAGTTAGCTTCACACCGGAGTCGACGTGATCTTGAATAAGACCACGCAGAGGCGAGCCATCCGTCGGCACAATGTACTGGTTGTCATTAGACGCGATGTTGTAAGCCTCCGAACGCGCCAGCTCGTTCTGCGGAAAGTGCATGTTCATCTCGTCACCATCGAAATCGGCGTTGAACGTATTACAGTTGGCATAGTGCATACGAATCGTCTGCATCTTCGGGTTTGTCAGAACACGCGCGGTGTGGGCCATAATACTGGGCTTGTGCAGCGTCGGCTGACGGTTCATTAACACCACATCACCAGTCTTCAGGTGGCGCCACACACGCTTCACACGGTTCTTACTGGTGCCCTGGGCGCTTGCAGAACGGGTCAGCAGAGTCTTACTGATAGCCTCACGCTGGTGCGGGGTACGCTTGCTCAAATCAATGAGGCGTCCATTCTCGCTCTCCACGAAGTTTGAACCAGGGTGCACGTCCGGTCCGTTGATAACAAGCTGACGCATTTCCTCCACATTCCACGGCGTCACTGGCTGAGGGTACGTGAGAGTCTTGGCGAAACGTAGCGGCACACCAATCTGGCTGGTACTGATGTACGGGTCAGGAGAGATAACCGACCGAGCAGCGTAGTTGACACGCTTACCCATCATGTGCTTACGAAAAAGACCCTCCTTCTTTTCAATAACCTGTTTGATGCCCTGCGCGACGTCAGTGCCTGGCTTGGCCTTGCTGCTATCCACCAGAAGGTTGACTGCGTTCTGCAGTTCCGTCCACAGAGCGAGTTTTCGTGAGAGATTCACCTGCTCCTCCTTCTCGGCGTCATCCTCGTCCGACGTAGTAGCGGCCTGGCGTTTGTAGTAGTCGCTCTGAACAATACTTTCACTATAAGTCATAATCTTCGACAAGTGCGAGTTCTGCGCGTGCTCGAACTGCTTATCGCCCATGAATACAGGCGGACGAAAACGTGAAGGTGCAACAGGGATCACGTTCAGGAAGAATTTGCGCCAGCCGTCAGGCTTGCGGCCAGAGACACGGCCACTAGCAATGTTGCGGTCACCATAAAGCATTTCCATGAGTCCATCCTCGTTCTGCCACATCAATTGCAGCTGCGACTGCACCTCCAGAGGCGGCAGGAACTTGCTGCGCGATGACGAGTCCTCTGTGGCTGCGTACGTATCTTCGTCGTCCTCCAATTCCGACTCAGAGTCGTCACCGTTCATATTCTCGTCTTTATTGTCCGACACATTGCCGCGGATCGTGTCCAGAGCTGACGTCACCGTCAGGTTCTTGGAGCGGTTGACCTTGCGAGAGCGTGCACTGAGTCCCTTGAGGAAGATTTTAGCATTGGCGTCCTGTCTGATTGCTGGCGAGATGGCTCCACAATTCTCGCACTTGTTCTTCATGCTCTTAAGGAACTCAATCACAAGCTTCTCACGCGTCACCTCAGCAACGCGAGGCAACGGACGCAGCAGTTGCGTCTTGCCGTTAGTGCTGGTGATGCTCTTGGAGAGCGCCAGCCGCTCGTACTCGTCCAGAATGGCCTGCTGCCGCTGGAAAGTGCGCTGCGGAGGCTCGTCCTCAACGCCATTGCGCTGTTCGAGCAATTCGCCTAGCTGGCCCGCCTCGTTGTCGAAGCCATTGTCAAGCAGAAGGATCTTAACGCGTACCACACGCGAGCGAGCGCTAGCAACACGGAATTTGTGGCACGTGAAGCATTTGCGCTTGAGCAGGTTGAGCATCTGGCCGAAGAGCACGGGGTTGTACACGGGCACAGGCAGCTCGATGTGGCCGAGATGGCCAGGACATTCCTTTTGCGTCTGGTGACAAGTAGGACAGATCATGTTGAAGTCCACGGGACCCAATGCCGGGTCATACAGGCCGCCCACCACGGGGTTGTTGAGCGAGTCAAAGCTCAAACGGCTCGTAAGTTGTTTGACACTTAGGTCACGAATCTCGGCATCGCTGTAGAAGCCGAAGGCCACCTCCGCCACCTCATGACGGAGGATAGTCTGGTCTGTGGCCGCGTCCATGGCGGCGGGTCTAACTGCAAGAAAGAGAGCCTACGTCCGCCTGTGCGTGATGCCTTGGAAATGCGCACTGCCTCGGTTGGCCAGGAATGAGCCAAAGCGACGTCAAGCCTACAGGATTGTGGCCAGTCAACTGAGCCCAATGTTTTTCGACCAATTAGAGCAAGTTGCATTTTTTCGGAAATAAATGAACTTAAATGGCTACATTCACGAAGAGTACCGGTATCTTAACCCTGTCAATGCTGCTGCTACTGACACTAACCAAAGCTTATGCCTCGTACATGCCACAGTCAGCGATGGTCACAGGCTGCGAGGGCTTGTCGCCCTTATCGGTGTCCAGGCCCTCGATGCGCTTCACCACATCGAAGCCCTCCACAACCTTGCCGAACACCACGTGCTTGCCGTCCAGGTGCGGCGTGGGCACAGTCGTAATGAAGAACTGCGACCCATTCGAGCCCGGACCAGCGTTGGCCATGGACAGCAGACCAGATTCCGTGTGCTTGAGTCGGAAGTTCTCGTCCGGGAATTTCTCACCGTAGATGCTTTCACCGCCCGTTCCATCACCACGCGTGAAGTCGCCACCCTGGATCATGAAGCTTTTGATCACACGGTGGAACGAGCTTCCCTTGTAGTGCAGCGGCTGGCCCGTCGTGCAGTTGCCCTTCTCACCCGTACACAGCGCGCGGAAGTTCTCGGCCGTCTTCGGGGTAATATCCTTGTACAGCTGCATCACAACCTTACCGGCGTCCTCTTCGCCGATCTTGATATCGAAGAAAACCTTCGGGTTGTTCGGGTCCGGCACCGGCTCGGCCTCTACCACGGACTTGTCGTCGTACATGGATACCTTGCCGAACAGACCGCCGAACACAGACATCTCCTTCTGACGCGCGTCCTTCATCTTCTTCTTCAACACTTCAAACTCGCGACGCACCTCACGGTTAGCCGGTTCCAGTTTGCCAGCGGCCAACAGGTCTTCCTTCGCGCGCTCCAGGTCATTTGTGTGCATGCGGCCCACACCACGACGGTACAGCGCCTTGACATTGGAGGGGTCGTTGTTCAGCGCCTTCGTGGCGACAGTTACGGCCTCCGAGTAGTCCTCCACCTTAAGGTATGCCATCGCGGCGTTCAAGAAGCAAGTCGTCTGCAGCTGCTTCATCGACTTCTTGTCCTCGTCGGCGACATCATACATGTCCTCCATGTACGAAGCGGCCAGAGTGTACGTTGCAGCGGCAGCGTCAAACTGCTTCGCCTTATATTGCTCCGTACCCTTGGCCTTGAGCTTGGTGGCCTCGGCGATCTTCTCCTCAGCGTCCATCTCCCACATCTCCTTGACCTTGGGGCTAAAGCCAAGCAACTCCACATCGAACTTCAGTGTTGCGTTAGCAGGAATCTTTGGTGGGCTGCCGCTCGGGCCGTACGCATATTCGGGTTTGCAGGTTAGAATAGCTTTCTGCAGTCACAAAGCATCAATCAACCCCTAGTCAGTTCTTTGATCACGTTACCACTGGTTATTCATTGCAACAGGCATACCTCGCCAACTTTCATTGAGGCGAAGGCTAGATCCCAGGCCTTGATCACGTTGCCCTTGCCCAGCACAAACTTGAACTCAGCGTTGCGGTCACGCGAGCTGTCGAACTTGGTGCCGTCCAGCAGCGTACCGGTGTAGTGGGCTGGCAAGCACAATCATCCAAAAATTTAGAGCCACTGATTTGAAGGTATCTGTCGCATGATGCTCTACACACCTCGAATTTCGTCGCCAGCGGGCGGAACCTCGCCCGATCCTTCGACGTACGTCTCCTTTAGCACGCCGCCGTCTCCCGACAAGTCCACAGGCTCCTTCTTCGTAGTTTCGGCCATCTTGCGATCTCTATGTAATCTGAAATGCAAATAATAGAAGAATGAGTGAGGAAGCGTTTGGTCGATCGTGCCGCTGTTGCTCGCTCACCTGACTTCTGTGTGTCTAATTGCTGAGTGGAGTGCCTTCGCGAAGATCTTATTGTCAAATCGGTTTGTAGAGGGTTTTGTGATTGATTGGTCCGAATGTTCTCGAAAAACAAGATACACCTTATGACTGACGTGTTTTACGTGATCGTATTGTTACACTGTAACTCGGTTACGCTTACGCCTTACCGCAGCAAGTTGTTCTTGACTGCCGCCGCGGTCAGCGCCATCTCGCACTCCCCTCGGATGCGGGCGATCTGGGATCGGTAAAACACTCGCTCTTTGTCGTGTCGGCGCTGCATACGCTCGCGACCCAGTGGGGCCAGCTCCAGGCGCAAATCCACCTCTCGGTCCATCTCACGCGCCATTTCCTCCACTACCAGCGTCTGAATGTGTCGCGCGTAGCCGTGCTTGGTCTTTTCCAGCAACCTTGTGGTTAAGCTCAGACGTTCCGCTTCAGCCAGTCCACGACGCTGCAATTCGTGCCGAACGCCAGCGAGCGACTCGCGGAAACACTTGTTCGCTTTCTGCGATAGATTCAACGTATCAGCTACAAGAAGCTTACCAAAGGAGATTTTCTGCTGCTTCAGAACGTACTGTGACATTGGAGACCTGCTGGCGCTCCCAGTCAACGTTGTCGCCAAGCTCTCGTTGTGACTGCGTGTCGCGATGCACAGAACGAGACGATTGTCTCGCTTGTCGGTGTGCTTCAGAGGATTTTCGTGTCAGTGTTGGCTCATCGACAGTACAGGTCGTCGCAACTGGTACTGGCACAAACAGCTCGAGTTTCTCCCCCGTCTCGGCATCAAACACCTCGTTCATCGTGGTCGTATTGGTGACAAGATGTAACGAAAAGTGAAAGTTGGTCCTATTAGTATTTTTAACACGAACTGAAGGTATTTATGAGGCAAGCTGAAGGCTGCAACCGACATTTCTTAACATGCCGAGTGTCTGGTCGTGTTCGACGTCAAGCTCTACTCGTTGAGCTTAGTGTCAAGTAGCTTGAAGCGTCATGAAGCCCGATGAGAAGGAGGCCGAGAACATTCGTGTCGCCGTGCGATGTCGGCCCATGAACGAGCGTGAGAATCGGGAGCAGTCGGTCTCCTGCTTCACTTGTGGCCCCAATGGCACCGCCGTGCTCACGAATATGGACAACCCGGCCGAGAAACACGAATTCGGCTTCGATTTCGTGTACGGGTGTGACTCAAAGCAGGAAAGTGTGTTTGAGGACATTGGCGTGCCTCTATTAGACCGAGCTTTTGGAGGCTACAACGGCACTATCTTTGCCTACGGACAGACTGGCAGTGGCAAGTCTTTCAGTATGACAGGTGTGACTGGAGGCTCAGAGGCGCTGGAAGGTTTAATTCCTCGCGTTAATTGCGCCATCTTCGAGCGTGTTGCCACAGAACGGGTCGAAAACCCCAACAAGCGCTTCCTCGTGGAGTGCTCGTTCTTTGAGATTTACAATGAAATCATCTACGACTTGCTCGATTCCAGTGGCAATGGCAAGAAGAACAAAGGTGGCTTGGAGATCAAGGAGCACTCCGTGTTGGGAATCTACGTGAAAGATCTCCAGGAGCGTGTGGTGGAGACACGAGAAGAGATTGTGGAGCTCATGACGTTGGGGGCACAATCGCGAACGGTGGGCTATACTCACATGAACGCTGAGAGCTCTCGCTCTCACTCGATCTTCACCATCAAGATCCACCAGAAAGATGCCGACGATGAGACCAAGAGCGTGTTCGCTAAGATTAATCTCGTCGATCTTGCAGGCTCCGAACGTGCGGCATCAACAGGAGCACAGGGCGATCGACTTCGTGAAGGAGCCAACATCAACAAGTCGCTCAGTGCCTTAGGCAACGTCATCAACGCTCTCGTTGAAGCTTCTCGAGCTAGCAAGAAGGTGTTCATTCCTTATCGTAACTCCAAGCTCACGCGTGTACTGCAGGAGTCACTGGGTGGCAACAGTCTCTGCTCCATGCTGGCGACGCTCTCACCTGCCAGTATCAACTTCGTCGAGACGTTGAGTACTCTCAAGTACGCTAGTCGCGCTAAGAGTATCAAGGTGAACGCCAAGAAAAACGAGGCGTCCTCGCAGATTTCACAGCTCAACGAAGAAATTGCCGCGCTCAAGCAAAAACTTCAAGAGCAAATGGAAACTGGGCTCGGTCTTGACCCCAAAGAGAAGGACGACATCGTCAAGAAATACGAGAAGCAGATTCAAGAGATGGACCGGGTGAGGTTACAGACGTGGGAGGACAAGGCGAAGCTCTCGAAACAGCACGAAATGGAGCGCAAGAAGCTGGCACGAGAACGGGCGCTGGCTGACCAACGCATTCGAGAAGAACGTACGAAGAAGTGGCGATTGCTGGAGGAGAAGGGTGATCTGGAGCTCATGATGCGTGCTCTTCGCGATCTGGATGGCAACAACTCAGCTGCAGCTGATGCTGATGCTGACGCAGCGTCAGTGGCGGTGCAGTGGCTCGAGACTGCCCAGAAAGTCAAGACGATGGAAGGTGAAGCTAAAGATTTACGTACACTTATCCAGGTGTTCCGAGATTCTCTCCAGAAAGACGTCGAGCTCTGGGCGCGACGCTGCGGCCTAATGCAAGAGAACGGCAAGTCCACCAAGGCCTTATTGTCTCAGCGTCGTGAAGACTCGGCTGCTGCGTCAGCGGCACACATGACTGCGAGTCAAATGAGCAGTAAACTGCAGAATATTGGCGAAGAAAGTGAAAAGCTGTTAACGTTAGAGGGCCAACTTGTGAGTGACCGCAGCGCGTTGATTAACACGATGACCCGTGAGCTGCTGCGATTGAAGGCGTGCCATGCTCAGTTTAAAGCTGAGCAAGCTGCGGCGACGGCTGCTGCTGCTGGAAAGTCAACTCCGAATGCTGCACAAGCCACAAAAGTCGCAAAGGAACAGGAGCAGCTTCTTGAAGAACGTGAACGTGGTCTTACCATAACGTTGGCGCTCGTGCGAACTCAGCGTTCGATTCTCGTTCAGTCCATTAAGTCCGATCGTCAACGAATTTTTGAGTTTGCAATGATCACCAAACACTTCACCAGCTTCGCGGACCAGCATATTGCCTCGTCGCAAGATGCTAAAGCTAAAAGTTCCGACACTGCGCAACGCTGGGAAGAGGCCAAAGCCAAGCTTTTGGCTGTGTCTAAGACCTGGGAAGATACCTGGAAAGCCAAGTCAGCAAAGGACACCTGCTCTGCAGAATACGTGGGGGATGGAGACGTTGCGCCGCTTGGTCTGGAATCGCGCTTGCTACCTGATGAGTGTTTGTCTGCCTCCTCGAAGGCTCAAGACGCCAAGTTTGCACGGCTTAATGGAGCTCAGTGCTGGGTACCCGACGCACAAGACGCAGCTCCATCGCTTGTAGTTGATTTTGAGCTTCCTCGTATCTTTGATTCGTTGTCTGTACGTGGTGGTAAGGGAGGAAGTTCTGGCTCATCAGAGGCACAAGCAGCGACACTGACTAGCTCTCCAGTACCAGCTCCTGCTTCAACATTTGTTTTGGCGAGCATTGCTGATCTCCAGGCAGCTCGAAGTCGATACAAACTTGACGAAGTGAAAGGAGCGAACGAGCTGACGTACGAGCTGCTGGCTCACGTTATGTCGTGGCAAGATCTACTCAAGACAGATGTTGTTCCCGTAAAACTGTTCGCTCGCCCACCAGTTCGATTCCTGCACGATGTGATCTCGGCTGTCATGTGGAATACAGGTTTCGCGTGTGACGCTGTCTCAGCAGCCCAGCGCGACTACGCCTTACTCCCCAGCAAGACTGAGCGATATGAATACCTATCTGCAGTTCTGGACTATGTGCAGTCGTGGTATCAGCGTCAACAACACAATGCTGAGAATGCTCCTAGTGTGGTCATCGCTGCAACCACCTCCAATATCCTAGCAGGCAAGGAGCCTACAGACACTGTTCAGTTTCTCGGATACTTTGCGTTGGCAGCGATAGATCACGCGATACAAAACCCACCAGTAGCAGCTGTAACAGACCATACTACTGCTGCAACACCAGTGGCTGAGGCGGAATCTGAAACCAGTCCTGACACTCCTCAAGACGGATGGGTAACTCGTATCCGAGTCGCTACAAGTTTTACAGGTGCTGCCGGCGACTGGCGTGTCTTGGGCGAATTCGATGCCAACACCGATACCGAGGGTACAGTCTCTATAGCTTTAGCGGCGGGGGGAGTCAAGGAGGATGGCAGCCGAGCAGGTCGCTTCCTACAGCTTACATGTGTCAAGTGGCATCATCGTGCAGCGTTGCAATGCGAGGTCTTCGGTCGCGAGGCACACGAGAGCAGTTCGCTCGCTCTAAACGTCCAAGTTTTGGCGTCGAAGGCCTGTGCACTTCTTGAGCAGCTTCGACATACAGCTGTGCTGGTGCTGGAGGAGGCTCGTGCCTTGTACGACCGTGCTAAGATTGCGGAAAGTGAGAAGCACGCACAGCTAGCAAGCTATGGCGAAGAGCTAGCCAAGTTGAGAGCAGCCAGGGCTGCTTGGGAGAAAAAGGAGCGTGAGATGCAAGAGCAACATGCCCACCTCACTGCCCAGATAGATACGGCCAACCAGCGTGCGGACCGGGAAAAAACTCGCGGAGATACACTGCAAGGTGACCTGGCGGCAACTACGAGTCAGGTAGAGGAGCTGAAGCGACGAGGAGATACGCTGCAAACGCAGATAAGTGAGAAGGAACATCAGATACAGACGCTGGCAATGCAGGCCGGGGAGCAGAAGCGTGCTTATGAGGCACTGCAGCAGACTAAGCAGCAGCTTGAGGAATTAGCGGCCAATTTACGCGGCCAGTTGACTGACAAGAAACAAGAACAAGATGCCAGTCAACAAGAAGGGCAGTCACGCATTGCAGAACTCAACGGAGAGCTCATGTCAGTGCGTGTTCAGCTGGATGAACAGCGTCGCGCACTAGAGGCAGCAGAGCTACAAGTCAAGGAGCAAGAAACATTTGGACAGCAGCAGTATTCGCTTTTGCAGCAGACGCGTGCTGCTCTAATGGAGAAAGGGGCTGAGGCAGATGCAAAGCTGAAGGCTCGGGCAGCAGAGAGTGAGGCTGCACTGAGAGATCTCAATGATGAGCGCGATCGTGTGAAGCAGGGGCTTGAACGCGCGTTGGCGGCTGAAAACTTACTCAAGGTGGCGGCAGGCCGATTAGAGGCTCAATGTGCAGCTACAGGGGCTGAACTAGATAGTTGGAGACGACGAGCAGAGGCGGCGGAGGCTGAAGTTCAGACCCGGTCTCAGGGAAGTAGTGCAGCAGGTGCTGAAACCAGTGCTAGCAATGGTAATACTGAATCTGAAGCAGCCGGAAGGGAGAACGAGAGGTTCCTACTGGAGGCACAGACGAACGAACTCCGTCGGCTGGCCGAGCTGGAGAAGATGGAGACAAAGGTGCAGAGCTTAGAACAGGAACTTGCTGCAAGTGAAGAGAAAGCACGTCAAGCTGAGCAGGCACTCTTCGAGTCTGCGAAGAGGGTGAAGGAACTTGAAGAGACTGAGGAGGAGTTGCAGCTTCAACTACAAGTGGTCACAGATGAGCGAGACTCGGCTAGACAGAAGGAAGAGCAGCTTTTTGCAGAGACGAACGAGAAAGATCAAGAGATTGAGCGCATTCGGGACGGCTACGGTAAGGAAGATCTCCAGAGTGACCACATCCTTGTGCTGCTCACTCACACAGATGTTATTTGCTGTTAGTGTGGGTGACGGACCGAATGAATTCAAAAGAAGACGAGCTCAGTGAGCTACAGGAGCAGTTAGAGCGCTATCAATCTTTGTTAGAGATGACTGGCGCTAAAGCAGGTGCTGACATACCTCCTGCAAAGCACAAGGAGGACAAATGGGGAGCTGAAATAGCCAAGCTCTACGCTCTTGCCATTGGTGAGTACACAAACTAGATTTGGTGTTGTCTGAGGGCAATTTCTAACATGCAAGTTGCCGCTAATGATGCAGGTGCAACGGACCCGGCAGCAGGAAGCGATACAATGATCGCCAAATTAGCAGAATGGATAGAGGTGATGAAAGCACCCACAAAAACGCCAGCTAAACACGAGACGCCATCGCCGCAACAAAATAGCAAGGCAGAAAAGCTAACAGCACAAGAAGTCGTGCCAAAAGCTAATGGCTTCACTGGTGAGGAAGAGACAGACTACGATGATGATTTCGATGATGCTGATGAAAAGGATGAAAGCCGTAAGGCTCGACGGAAATGATCAATAATTAGAAAATGAATACGCAACGGCATTCATCGGTCACACTCCTCGCGCTCTTATTCTCAACCGCTGAAAGTATTAACGACACAAGATACTTCTTATGAGCTTTTTGTTCATCTCGTCGTGTTCGATCCACCGTGACACAAACCTATCTTTCGTGTGCACCAAAGTCACGGTGAAGAGGCGAACGGCTTTCCTGTGAGCACGAATTCACGGACCGAATGCTACCACTTCAGCTAGTGCTACGTCCGGAGCGGAATGAAAGCGCCTGGCCCAGTCCCCCACGGATTCATGGAAGAAAGAGCCGTTCAATGCGCACCCGTCGCTCATCAAATTCCCGCTGCCGAGCACCACTGCTGTTGTGTTCCACGCAGCAATCCTACCTATACCCACCGACACCCAAGACATTTCGTCGTCGATCTCGGCATCTAACGATTCGCCAAAGCTCCTCCTGGATGACAAGAGATCGTCTCAATTCCTTCATTCACTACTGCTCGACCGTCGTCAAGACAGTTCTCTCCACAACGACAGTCATTGCTCAAGGTTTGTACGAAACTGCGTCGACGATGCTTCTGAATTGGTGGAGCGGAAAGCAAGAAGACGAAGATACGTTGGAGGTGGTTGAACGGCAGTCCACTATGACGCAGGGGGATTTCAATGTCATTTTGGAGGAGAACAACCGCCTCAAGCGTATGATAAAGTTCGCTGTGAGCTCGCATGCAATAATGAATGAAGCCACTAGCATTCTTGAGGATGGTGCCGATCTCTGGGTGAAACGCGCTGATGTTGTGGATGCTAAGGTTCTTGAGGCAGAACAGGAGCGTGATGCTCTAACACTTCAACTTGAAGAGTATCAAGAGTAGCTCAAGGACAAGGACCAAGAGATCGAGCGATTGCAAGACGGATACGGTAGGCTGATCCGCGATTAACAATCTTTAGGTCGAGGCTGATGTGTCGTTTGTGTTAAAAAGTGTGGGCGACAGAGAACTTGAATACCAAGGAGGACGAGATCTGCGAGTTGCATGAACGACTGGAGCACTACGAAGCACTACTGAAAGCAGCAAAAGTAGTGTAATGTATTCACGAATATGTATTAAATCACATTTTTCTGGCTTAAGGCTTAAGCTACAGCGTTCATCTTGCTGACTCATTCCTCCCATCCGAGTTGATTAGCTGCGACGCTGTCGCCGTCGCCGTCAATTTCTTGACAATTGTAAATCGCGTACAAGAGTTTCTCACGCAATACATTCTCGCTCGAGTAGGCCGGAATCTCAATAGAGAAAAAGCATGTGTGAGCCACTGGCATGTAAGCGTCAACACTGCGACCTGCGCGCTCCATATTGAACGACTGCAGCTTGAAACGTTGAGGGAATTCGTCAGCACTAGCAGGAAGCCGTGAGCGGCCCCACACGAAGCGTAAGAACGCACTACGTTCTTCATGAGAAAAGTCTCGAAGCGCCCGCCAAAACCAAATGATGTGGTCGTCTGTAGGCGAGCAGCTTGAGTACTCAGTGCACTTCTCAAGCAGGTTCACGTCCACCTCAGGTGATCCGCAAACCATAAGCTCAAGCTCAGCACCCGAAAAGCACGCAAGTAGTTTGGCCGGTACAACCTTGGCGAGTCCGCGGAAAATTGCCTGGGCTTGATCGTCGCTTTCGTGAAGCCGAGCCTGCTCAACAAGGTCTGCGTACTCACAACGTGAGCTAAATGTTACCGGTAAATGAGCACCTCCATCTTTGAGCTCGACAACACGATTGTCTGCTCCCAACGTCGTGAACGTTTCCATTACGATATCCTCAAACATCTCTTCCGTGACACCATAGCGGTCAATGGTTCGCATTCTTGACATGGAGTTCACCAGCATCGAGTCCACCGCTGCCAAGTCATCCAGTACTAGACGCTCACCCGCAAGTTTCTTCCATACCAGAGGCGCCAGGTTCAGCGCAAGATACTGTTTGCTGCGAATCGAAGCCCCCATGAGCTTACCGAGGAACTCGAGCATCTGAAGAGTAGTGGAGGACTGCGCACCAGGACTTAACAACCACTTTTCTCGTCCAACACCAACATTATGTTGGGAGTTTGGAGTCGGTAACATAAGAGGCAGTTGAGAACTCTGCAGCTCCTCACAGTATTGAGCAAACGTCTCGCGATAAGGACCACCCGCATCTTGCGCATTTTCGCCAAGAAAAGTCACATGATATAGTGCATCCTCACGCCGAAAGTGGGTGCCATCTAAAGCCTGCAGCTGGCGAAAGGCTTGAGAGAAAAGTGTATGTCTTCCTTCTACATCAGTCTTTCCAGTTGCACGGCATCGCATCGCCTTCGGACGATTTAGCGTCAGCTCGAAGGATACTCCACTTTCGTTTGTGCGTCCCAATGCACTGTCCCACACTGTACGCTTCACCACGCTCAGGATTCGGTGCCGCTGTTCCATTACGAGATCGCTCAGCATGAATTTTTGTCCAGTAGTACTAAAGTCCACAGTATCCACGCGTGGAGCATGGAATGCAATGAACGGCAAAATACGATAGACGGCGGCGTTGAACTCTTGCAGTACTTTAAACCGCTTCGATAGACGGCCGTGCGCATCAACCAGTGGTTTCGTTGACGCTGTAGCATCTCCTGATCGAGATGAATCAGGCTTTCCTTCACTTTTCTCCATTTTTGCGTCGTCGCTAGGCGAGGCAATGATTTCCATTAAAGCCGGCCAACGTACCAACTCATTCTCTTGCGGTGCAATGTCACTCCAAGGCCCATGAAGCAACTGAATCGCATTGAGATCCTTGCGTTGACCCTTCTTGTTGATGTACTTGATTAGCTGTTGATCGTGACGTGGCAACAAATTGTGAAGACTGTCACCGAAACGCACCGACTGAGACTGGAAACGTCGTCGGCCAACCGTTTCCATCGAAAAATGGGGGATCACATAGAACTTGTACCCCCACAACGAGTCACGTTTCGTCGCCGCATCATTGGCAGACCCAAACGAAAAAAATGGCGATGCTGAGTTGCCGTCACCGACGCGTCTGCGTGCAGCTGGTGGAGGAGAGCAAGTTTCATTCCACCACGCATTTTCGCCGGTATCTTCAAGAACCCGAGCGAAAATGGAAGCTTTGCTTTTACTGGCGGTGTCGTTGTTTGCTGCTATCAGACCTTGCTGACAGTTTCCACTTGCATCGTCAACACTATTCCCCACACCCTCGTTTAGTTTCCACCAGCCGACAAGACGAGGTGTGATTTCCTGAACCTTGTGGCGATAGACAACTCGGTCCCACTGCTGTTCATCGCAGTCATATACCTCAAAATGTGCGTTCTCTTCGGCGCAATCTGAAGCTTGGAGAAGCGACAAAACACCCCCTTCTTCGATACTAGGCTCATATTTAAATGGGCGCTGACCGAAGTTCCATGCCAGACCTTGTGCGCCTTGAGGGCCTAGGCTTGCAGACGGATAAAACCGTTTATCCACACCTGGGCTTGTAGCTGATTCGTCGACTGTGATAATCTCGGTGACCAAGGCGTTAAATTCCTGATCCTTGGTGTCAAGAAGGGCGGTCTCAGTGCTTTGGTCTACGGAGGGAACACATTCCGCAACTATCGTGCCGTTCACGTAAAATGTTAGCTTTCCAGTCGCCAAGTTGATCGCGCACCCTATCACATCCCCGTTGCGACAAAAAATATCGTTGCCGAAGGAGTTCCCAAAAGATCGTCGCGGACTGCTGCATGCGCTAGCGTCGACCCTTGTAAACGGTGCCAGGTCCTTTGATAAGGCTGAAAAATGTGCCACCTTCTTGCTCAAATCAATGCCGAACGAGTTGCGCTCTTCTCCTATTATTCCTGACTTGCTGTGCATATTCGCACCACCCAAGATCCACCCGACACATACTTTACCACTGGATAGCACATGTGCCTCGTAATACGCCGTATCGCTAGGCTTTCCATCCCCATTTGACAACGGTGACGCTTTCACAGAACAATTCAGACGAACAGTGGAAATGTCCTTGCTTGTCCGGTTCGTGGTGACCCATTTGCGCATGTGATGAGGGACTGTAACGGGGCGCAACGATGACCGCGGTGACCGAGGCGAAGAGAAAAACGTCATTGCGGGAGACAAAGGCCTTTTACTCGCAGATGTTGGAGTTCCTGGACGACTGCTACTCTTGGGTACCACATCAACGCTGTCCAACCCCCGATAGTGACTGCGGAGCTGCTCAACTCGAAAAGCAACATCCCATAATCGGATATCGTAGAGGTGACCACGAAATGCTAAAAATGATAAGGGGAGATCATCATTAGGTAAAGTAGCACGACTGCATGAAGCCCCGAAGATTAACGCAGAGTTTGAATCCAGTACCAGTCGGTCGTGCTCTAAGCAACGAGCTGAGTAGATAATGTTGCCATTCCTCATCACAAGAACTCTCGATCCCGAAAAGACAAGCGCTAAATGAATCCACTGACCGAAAACAAGATTGCCAGAGCCAGCACTGTCACTATCAGCATCTTGTCGACACTGGTGATGTTTCATTAGCGCACCACTTGTATCCACGGCTTGAAGAACCAGCGTGCATCTACCCAGTCTGTCACTCAGTAAAATTACCCGGCCGCGAGTGCCATCAATACGGAGCACCTCCATATATGCGCTGTCATCCACCTTCTCAAAGATATCCGTAGATATACAAGCCCAGAACTCAGCAGAGCAATCACTTTTCGACAAAACGCGCTCATTTTCTTCCACGAGTTTCAAATCCAGCCGCATGGTCCCGTCCAATTCTAAACTACCCGCGAAGTCGGAAGAAGCACTCAAATTCAGCGCCGTAGTTGTCGGAAGAGTACTCCGTGCGAATTCAAACGATATGGTACTGCCTCTTAGGATCAACGGCGCGCTACGATATTTGGTATGCTCGAGATTCTGCACATCGTATCGACCGTTGACTCCGTAGCGGTAAACTGTTTCAAATCCATTCTCTTGCCATCGAACTCGCACACCCTTCCCACCGTGAGACCCCCAAGAAGTTACTTCTTGCACAACGCCAGCATTCCCAGCTCCTCCGTCTTCATTGCTGTATTCCCAGTCATGCGATCTTACAACCAAGTCGCCGATAGATAACGAGTAATTAGATTGATTCATGCAGTCGCTCGCGAATAAGTGAGGAGATTCTGTCACATCCTGCTCTCCATTGATTCCCGAAAGCACGACCACCGGATTACCAGCGTCCTCTGATGATGCCTCTACTTCATTCCCAGCGAAAAAGCGAAGCTCATCTCTCTTCTGAAGCTTGGTTCTTTTGTCGAACCGGATCTCTAGCGCCACGGCACCATTAATGTCGACGAGCTCACGTACAGGCTTCGAAGGTGCCGAAGATGCCAACGGGTGCCGACTCTCCCTCGAAATGACTGTCGACGACAAGTTTTCACGGAAATCTAGCATCATGCTCACTGCATCGACAACCTTGCCATACCAGTTTGGTACTCTGGATTGAGGGATGAGTGCAATAGAGGAACAGCTTAGCGAGCTGAACTCGATCCGATTGTCGAAGCATGAATGAGAAACGACCAGTCGAATGTCACTTTCTGGCTGCAGAGTCGGATAAAGCTCGTCCCATGGAACCAATGCACCTGAACCAGGTGGCCCGGCTACGAGTGCTGCCACGATGCCATTCTTCCGGATCACCAGCATCTGTCGTGGTAGGTCAAGCAGGATTATCACCGTATCTCCCTCCCGAATTCGACTTTTGTATCCACGAATCTCATTGAGAGCAGGTCCATCGCTCGCTTTGGAACGAGCACCGAACGACAACTTCCCATTGTCTTCCCACACCACAAAACCCGCTGACACTCCCATGGTTATTTCAGGTTCTCCAATCGAAAGTCCAATAGTCATCGCTGACGCGAGCTTGGCGAACTTCAACAGAAACTGGTAACATCTCGAAGTTGATGCACTTGGTCCGCTAATGAAAGTAGAAACACCGTCGGTACCAGGTTCAAATGGCAAGAGAGAAAGGGGCTCCATGGCAGACGTCGTTGACCCTCCGAAGCAATGGCTATCCATCGAAAGATCAAGTGCAACTGCGCACTGTACTAGCGTCTGTAGATATGGTGACTTCAGTTCAACACGTTCCTCAGCCTGGTGCTTTGCACGCATTTTCACGTTCAGCAAGTCGCGCAGATGTTCAACGAGCACGGCTGGAATCGTATGGAAGGCCGCACTCTGAGCCATGTTACTCAGGATTTCAAGTGCACATGTCTTGATGCTTTGGGGCGACTCGTTCAAGCAAAACATCAGCGTTTGCAATGTTTCGGCCGAGTACAACAGTTTCAGTGTTGCGGGGCTCGCACAAAAGCTTGCATCGGGAATCGAGGTAAGTGCCTCCAACATCCAACCAGTCATAGAGAGCAGCTGCACAACCGTGTCTGGGTTCTTAATGTCTGTGCGCGATACTTTGCCTTCCTCCTTGAAAACCCCAATAGCATATAGTTTGAACCCCCAGTCATTGTTGCTAGAATCAGAGTGAAAATACACTTCAAACGAGTCGTCTTCGATATACAAGGGAGGGCGATCACCAGTTCCTGGCCAGTTTTCGCTATCACCCCGGCCGCCGATTTGATCTGGGCCAATTATTTCCGTCCGGTTTGATCCAGACTTGTTAAGTCGCACCCAGTCACATCCAGCCTCGCTTTTGCATCTGCGATCAAAAACTACCTTGATCTTCGTGGCCCCAGGAATCGAGACATCCCAGTACTGGTCTGCATTATCTGGGTAAGGGTGGGTGCTTTCAAGTACCCGCACAGCTCCACGGCCCTTCGGCATCAACTGAGGACCACTTTTCAGAATTTCCAAACACCGAACGAGCACAGCAGAAATGATAGCGTCATCATCGCCACTTCGAACCATTTGCTGCAATCTCTTTCGCAACGCAAGTAGTACACCAGAGTGATTGTCGAAAGCTGTGTCAGCATCGGCACCAATGAAGAAGTGTGACAGGAGTAGAAAAATATCCTCGGCGTTGCCAAAAGCACTTAGCGGAATCGACGCTCTTTTTGGATCACACGAAAGGAACGTAAAAATCGCATCGCGCGCTGCTTTCGTTGCAACAGCTCGATGGGAGTCGTACGCCAAACTCTGGATTCGGTCGGTTTGTCCTTTGAACTCATCGAATGCGTATGCAGAGCACAAACCGGTGAGTAACTGTTCCTCATCATTGCGCTCGTCCATTTCCAGCACTGAATGCCTGCTTTCGAAACTGAGGTCATCCACCCCCAGTGTTAGCAAGTCTTCTCCGTTAGCACACGCTGTTGAGGGGCTGGCATGCACAGTATCACCTGTGCGCTGCCATACCCAACCGCACGTTGCCTTATTAAGCTGATCAATATTGTCTGAGGTAACTTTTAGCCACCCGTCCAGATCAACTACAGCGACAAATTCTGCTCCGACCTTAAGCTCAGCCAAAACATTCGAATCGCGGTTCCTCTCCTGATAAATCTTGATTCCAGCTGCATCAATCACGCGAAAGGACTGTGAGCTTCTCGAAGTTACGCTGCCCCACCCATCAAGTCTTACTGACTCACTGGAGCTACAGTCTAAAAGCAGCTGGCGAACTGGATCTGAAGTGTGCTTGTCCTTGAATGAATGATCACTTCCGGCAAATTCTTCAAACTCGCTCTTCAATGGGGTTCGTTGATGACTCATCTTTTCGTACAGCGTCTCAAACAACCGGTACGATCGAGCATCCAGCTGCTTCAAACTTTTATCGAGGGGATACTCGGGAAGGAACTCCGCTGTCACATTAAATTTCCACCCCCAGTCGACATTTGAACCATCAGTTGCCCATAGAAGCGTAAACGAGTCCGCAGGGATAACAAGTGGAGGCCGGTCTTCAACACCAGGCCAGTTAGCGTCACTTCCCACTCCACAGTACTGATACGCACCCCACCGGTCTGTCAACGACTTATCCTTAAAGAAACAGAGGTAGTCGCATCCTTGCTCCGTTCGAGATTGAGAGTCGAATGTTATCGTCAACGCTGACGCGCCATTGAAAGTCACTTTCATGTACTCCATCACCGAATTTGCGTATGGATGCTTCGACTCAAATACCTGTGACTTTGGCGATGATTGGATCGGGCGCCCGTCACAGGGAGTGTTGGCAATTTTTGTCAATGAAGGTAGCAGACTCGTAAAGGTAGGGACTATCTCCGAACGCTTCAGCGATTGGAGAACTTGTCCAAAAGATGTTATGCACCTCGCACGGATATCACTTAGCGCACTTGTCCTGATTGTTGGTGGAATTTCAGGCGGATAAATCAAGGCTTCTTCGAATGCGTGAGCGGTGAGTTTAAAACCCCATTCAGAAATACCACTCGACGAGCCCTCGGTGTAGAAGTGCACATCAACGCTTCCTGCTGGAATACGAAGAGGAGGTGTAGTCCCCACACCAGGAAAGGATTCTCCGTAGTACTTTTCCTCACCCCAGTATTTTTCCACATTTCCACCGCCTTCGTTGAGATCTTCTTCCTTCTTTTTGAACTGGATGTAATCGTTCGGTCCTGCAGTGCACGACAGCTTGTCAAATCTGATTTCTATCTCGGTAGCGCCACGGAAATTCAAAGAGTATGTCACATCTTCACCCGGAGCGTAAGGATGCTCGCTTTCAAGCACCTCCACATTTTCCTTCTTTGTAAGTTTGGGCTGATAAGAATCAACGGACGGGGAAGCATCAGTCAGATCGAGAACACCTTGATAAAGATCCTTCAGCCCCGACGCAAAAGGTGTAACTCCTTTGAGAAACGACGCGAGCTCCTTTTTCTCGATATCATCCAAATGAGCAACATCGGTCAAGGGTACGTCAACGATGTTTGATTGGTCGCAATCGAAGATGACACGCGCGGTCTGATTTCCGCTTTTTATGCGGAATTGCACCAAGTATCCGGTCTCGATCATCTCCTTGCCATCAACATTTACACAGCAGCTCACCCTGCCTCCGATGTAGGCACCTCCGTAATTTCCACCTAGTAACGCAAGCGACGCTAGTATCTGCTCCACTTTACTTTCCGACCATTTATCTCGAAGCGTTTGGACAGATTGTAAGCCAGAGATGACCAGTTCAAAAACTTGATCCCCCCAGCACGAGTGCTCTGCCGCACCGCGCAGTAGTAATACATATGCTGCCACTAAACTTGCTTCTCCTTGAGCTGACGTGCGTAGCTCTAACTGGTCTCCATCTGCATCTTCTTCTTCGATTTCACGCGCCAAAGTTACTTTGTCATCTTCAAATGCTCTCCAAACGTTCAAAGCTCGACCCAAACGCTGGAAAACAAACGGTAGGAACCCATCTGTTTCACCTGGAAGGGCGGTAGCCACCTGTGTATCCATGTCATCCGTACTCAGGATTCCAACAAGGTCCTTAAGCACCTTAATGGCCCCGATTCGGATTTCTACAGGCACAAGATTGTCAAACGACAGAAGCAAAATGTTCCGGAGATTTCCAGGTGTGCCGATGAGACTCCTCCCAAATGAAGTCTCAGCGCATGTTCGAAACAACCCCAGTATGTACAGCGTACGCTCGGCTGGAGCAACATTCGAAGCGATATCCGTTAATGGAAAACTTGTCTGGATCTCTGAGGTTAGATCACTCTCCGAAATCGGATAACTCAACACCTTCGGCTGGTAAATCCAGCATTTCGCAGCTGGCTCGTCTAGAACACGCCCCGGGGCCTCCCCAAAGTAGAATGGATACGGGTTTAAATGCGTTACAGGACTCGTTGACTCTTCTTCGGACGTAGCTAGCTCTGGTGACGCAAGAATCCTAAATCCCCAGCTGTTGGAGCTGCCTTCGTTGTGAAAGTAGACCAAAAAACGGTCCGACGGAATTTCAAGTACGTTCAAATCGACGTTGGATGCATCTGCGTGTTGAAGACGAGCACGGTTACTTTGAGCACCTGGAAAATTCCGCTCCGGGTCGCTGTACTTGCCAGTATACTTTTCTTCGCCCCAATATTCCACACACTTTGCGTCTTTGTAGAAGCGCACAAACCCAGTTGAGCCATCAATATCGCACAGAGGATCAAACGTTAGGCGAATTTTGACAGCGCCTGGAATGTGAACTGGACAGTATTCATCGATCGAGTCTTCAAGAGGATGAGTCGACTCAATAATGGCCGACTCGGCAGGGTTCACATTCGCATTCATCACTAAGAACGACTCGAGAATATGCAGCGATACCATTAAGCCATTGACGTAAACTCTCAGTGTATCTTCGTCCTGTACAATAGCGACATGAGACCACTGATCAGCATCCAGTTCACAGTCTGTCTCAAAGACACTTTCTTTGTCCGATCCGCACGCAATTTTGTAGACCAGCATCCGACTATCCGTTAAAAACAGCCCAAAGTGACTCCATGGCTTGGCCGCTGCCGAGTCTTTGATCATATTCTTGTTGCCCTTCAGGAAAATTGTACCACCAACGCCTTCATCTACCAGGACAACGTCAAATTTTCCATGCTTTGGATCGAAATCACACTGAGAAGTCAGACCCGACGAGTTCCACCGAACATGAACTTTAGTAGGGGTGGGAATACTGATAACAGTTCCAATTTCTGTCTCACCGTCCTCCCCCGATTCGTCAGTGCCGCTCCAATTAGGACCGCGACGCACTTCATCGCCTAGTTTGAGAGCATACAACGGCCCCTTGCTTGGGCAGTAGACCCAAAGCATTATCGAATGATTCCAACTGACTGCACTTCGTTGCAGGCATGAAGAAATGAATCCAGGTGAGTTTTCGGGTAAGTACTGGGGGAATGACTTGCCTAAACCCCGGTCATGTGAGCTCAGCGCAGATTTAATAGAAGAAACAATACACTCAAGCTGATGTCCAACTGCTGCGAATAGTTGCCGTTGGAAGGCAGAAATGTCATGAGCGTCACCAACATCGTGTTCGTCGCCATCATCATCACCCTCTGAATTCGACTCCACTCGTCCAGCAATAAATCGCGAAAGAAGGACACCTAAGAGCGACTGTGCAGCGTTGCGAGTCGTGATAGAATCGGAAGAGAGTAGACGCAATATCTGCGGCAGCACTCGACTTTCCTGCAGCAAATAGGAATCTTCTAGGTCATAGTCCATAGCGCAGCACCTTAACATACAAGTTACCAATCCAGAGCTTGTTCCATCATCCGCAACTGATGCGGCCTGCTTAGCGAAGACTGCCAGACAATTACCAAAAGCTTCCGCGATTCGTTGGCGTAATGCCTCATCGCATCCTGAAAGTAAAGCATCAAAGTGCAATCGCGGGAAGGACTCCAATGCTGATGTTGGACTGACAGAGCTCGATCCAGACACATTTGTGGGCGAGTTAGCGATTGCGAAACACTTCAGCGTAGACGTAAAAGACTCGAGCAATACTCCTCGCATTCGCAGGCTTGGACAATCCTTCAGCGACTGAATAAAAATCTCCATTCCGAGCGCCCGGCATTCTGCTCTTCGGTTCCTCATTTCAATCACTTTTCGAACTTCGGATATATCCACATCACTCTGAATAAACTCCAGAACTTGTTCCGTCACTGACTTCGCTTGACCATACTTGAGCCGCTCACTTGATGACCTCCGGTACTGAAACAGACTTCTCAGCTCCGTTGCAGCTTGTAGCTCGTCCAGGAGGTTGTACCACTTATCCAGCTGAGAATCAGTAGAGTTTTGCTTTCCAATTGCATGACCGTATTTTGCCAATAAGCCCCACCTGCGTTTGGCACCCGCCACGTAGGAGAATGACACGGGTGTGATCTCCAGCAAAAACTGCGCTCGTTTAATGACGTTGTCACACAAGATCGCAAGAGACTCTTCGGAGAGTCCCATGTAAGCTGATGGCTGACGCCGGAGTCGTCCGGAACGCCGTCGACTTGAAGCCATTTGCCCAGCATCTGCAGCATCTCCTAGATGAAACCAGTCGCGCATCTTCTGGGCATTCTTCCAGCCACGAAGGAGTTGTTCGGAAATATCATCACGTAAGTTCTGAGTAAATGCATACGCATCCATCCCCCACATGTTGTGGTGAAAAATTGCAGCTGCTACAGCTCGAACAGCGCTGTTTACCGATTTGTTTGGAGCGGACCTTGTGATTTGATCGAATGATGTGGAGCGTGCTAGAGCTAAGGACGGTCTCGACACACCTGATCGCTCTTGAAGAGCTTGAATAACCCTCTCAGCATCCGAAGACGCTGGTAGGTCGACAAAGTCTTGTAGGAGCCGCAGCACCTCTGCGTTCATGTTGTCTTCATTGCACACTCCACTCCTCAGCAGGTCGCTTTGCAGATACTGTTCATTCTGGACCTCCATATCATCAATAGGGGCGAATACACTGCCATCAACAAGAATCTTGATGCTTTCATCGAGTAAATGAACCACACTTTCCAGCAGAAAAACGATCCAGTGCTGCTGCAAGCTCTTTTTCCTTTCCAAGATCTCGGCTGTTGCCGTGAACTTGTACCCCCAGTCAGTGTTGGATCCGTCGGTGTGGAAGTAAACGAAACAGTGATCACTTTCGATAATCAACGGAGGGTTATCACCCACACCAGGCCAGTTCTGCTCCGAGTCACGTCCGGAGTAAAACTGGCTGCCGTAATACTCTCCTGGGCTTTTGTCCTTGTAGAAAGTCAAGTAATCGTAGTTTACTTCACTACGGGATCGTGGATCGAACGTGATCACCATTCGAGTAGCCCCCGGTACTTGGAGTTCTGTTAGTGTGTCCAAGTTGTTTTCGTACTCATGAGACGATTCCATCGTTTCAGATTTGACTGCCATAGATACGTTTTCCATAACATGCTCTCTTTTCTTCGGATCAATCATAGATACCAGGACATCCAAGTTAACCATTAATTCAAGCATCTTGGACGCGTTACCCTTGAGGAAATCAAACAAGCGTAACGACGTAGCAGATATTGCGTTCGTCGCACTTCCGTTAAGACCTCGGCTCGTCTGCTCCGACCTAGACTCGGCCTTTTCAGACGTTTCATTCGTCATCAGCAAATCTTCGATACTCTTGCGATTCCGCAAAAGCATCATCCCGGAAGAGAGCACAACAGGAGTCAATATCCCGACAAAGCTATCCTTCACAATGCTTTCAAGTTCTGTCCACAGACTTTGACAATCCGTGTGTTTTACTTGGTCTGCCAAATCACTGCAAATACTTGAGCATGCATCGCGCACCGCTTCAAGAACCACAAGAGCAACACCAAGCGCCTGACGACTGCAAGTATCATCGCCAACAGCGCATAGAGACACAAAGGACGCTTGTGTGATTGCGTTGACGAGCGATATCAGCTCGAATGGACTTTCGCTACTATCCCGGAGCGCTGGAGCTGTGACAGCATCGTTCGACATGTCCCTTGAGTCACCAAACGCTTGCCGAAGTTTTCTTTGCTGCATTCCTACCGCGAACTCCACCAACTTCAAGAACTGCTCCAGTGAATCTTCAGACGCCACCATCGAATGGTAAATAACATCCGCTCGAGTACACAGATGTGCAAGTAGTCGAGCCAGGATCTTCAACTCCATCCTTGTCGTCTTCGCTTGCTGCCATGATTGCAAATACCTCAGCACATGTGTGAACTGCTTCGTAACATCTGAATGAAAAATGCGAATGGACGTCGTGTACAGGTCCAGCGCTACCGACGCCACTTGAACATGACTCCTTTCATCAGCTTGCAATGGTACCGGACCGCCAGATGGTACATTTGCTCCAGACGCAATATCTTTGCGGTCTGGTTGCTCACTCGAGAACTCCAGCAACTTATCAAGTGGAGTTGACAAACTTGATTTCAGAAGAGAAATGGATTCTTGCTTGCAATGCCCGTCAGCAAGTTGCAACAAACTCTCCAGATTCTTGTTCAAAATTCCAAGACATGCTTGAAGGATGTAAATTTGGACAATTGAGGCGTTGTTTGCCTTGAAAATATCGACGTACCTCGAAGTGAAAGCCAGTAGTAACCTAAATGTTTCCACTTCGACATCCACAGCAAACGGCACCCTTATCGCAGAGTTATTGTCGGCATCGTTTCCAACAGTCAAGTCACTTGAGACAGCATTCTTGTAAACAAAACCCAGCACAGACAGCGCTGTTGTTTCGATGGAGCTCGGTTCTTCACCATCACCAGTTTTTTTACTTACAACAACTGATGGAATTGAATTCTCATCCAGCGGTATCCGCTTCCCAGAATTCTGGTACGATCGCAGAGTTCTCTTGTGCTCATCATATAGCCACAGCAGGTTGTTTCTTGCGTCGAAGCACGCTGACGTACACGAAAGCGAACATTCCAGGCAGCTTGTTCTTTCCTCGTTTTCGCGAAGCTCCTTTGCCAGGCCACTTTCACAGTCAAACAACACACAGTGAACATGATTCTGCTCGCTTTCCTGTAAGGTCGGATCTACAAGCAGCATCCCTAGCGACGCGCCATTCGTGTAAAATAAAGGCAGCTGTACGTCCAACTTGTCTTCATTGTCCATAATGACGCTTCGGATCTTCGTTAGACAAAGCAAAAACTCACGGCACAGCACCGTCTTCTCGTTCAAAACGAAATGTCGCGTTACCTCCAGAACTTTTCTTCCTCCCGAGAGTGACTTTGGGGTGATTACGTTGACAACAATTTCACTCGACCCCATGTCGATCTCGTAAATCAGTTTCCCTTCAGTGGCATAAGCATACAGCGGCAGCTCGCACTTCTTATCATGAGCCCGAGGGCAATCCTTTCCCAGGGGGAAATACTCAAGAAAGCCCAGACCCTGAGGCGATATTCGTAGCAATCGACGGCATCGTTGATATGATTCATTGATCAGCATTCCACTTACGTCTATCTCAGGGTACATCACGCTCAGGTATAGCGAGTCATCACAAAATAACAGACTCGAAAGATAAGAGTCACTGGCTCTCTCTTCGACTTCGACAAATTGATCACCCTCTGCAAGGACTTGAGCCCCCACTGAATCCAAATTGTCACCACATGCGAAGACCACCATCAGTCTTTTCGAGTCTGCTATCTTTTCTAGTGAAATGCCACTTAACGTCAGTAGCTGCTCCGTGAGATCACGGGAAAGCGTGACATTGCTATTAGTCACAGATTTCGATCGCTTTTGCTCCAGTAAATTGCAGAAGTGTAGCACAGCCTCGGTATTTAAAACATCCAGCTCTCCGTACCAGGCCCGATAGACCTTCACATCAGCGTCTCCGTTTTCAGTACTCGGTACCGGGAGAATGAATAGATCTCGATTCTCGAGAATGCAAACGTCCTGAACATCATCCACATGATACGAGACAAGCAATCTAGACCCATCACTACTTGCCCCCAACGCGCCAAAAATGTCCTGGACACTCGTCCCTGATGACCCAACGTGATCTCTACCCAATTCACTCCTCGCGAGTTCGGAGACATCTTTGATGCAATCTCCGAAGCCATAAACCAATTTTCGGATAGTACGCTTCTCCTCCAATCTCCGTAAATACTCGCTTGCTGGTACCTCAGCATACACTCTTCCAGCAATGGTGAAATTATGACCCGTTCCGATCATTGCCAGCCCTTTCGTTATGCTCCATGTGTAGGCATAGCTTCCATCCATGGCAAACGAACTTGTTAAGGTAGCGCTGAATTCATCCGAGGTATTCCCTGCCTCGTCATCTTCTGGGTCACCTGGAAGTGTCTTAATTGCCAATTCCTTCACGAACGCACTGTCCTCAAATGTTCCTAGCGCATAGTCAATCCGGTAGGATTGCATTCGCTGCATGAACACCTTCACCCAAGCTGTAAACGGATATCCTTGAACTAGAAGCGGTTTGGTAGTAGCAGACTCGTAAGACTGGGTAAGTAGCTCCTCAACGAACTCAAGGAGCAACCTGATTCGCCCACTGCTCACCCCGATCGCGAAAAGTAGGAGGAGAGCAACCTGTCGTTGTATATCCGACGGTGCTTGTGTCCCTTGTTCAGGATGCAGGACATCCCTGCAAAATCTGTGTACATCGCTCAAAAGAGTGTCTTCTGGAGAGTCCGCAACTACGTCTTGCAATGCAAAGGGTGGACTATCCAGCAACGTTTGAACAAGTGTCATCGTGCCGCTCTCGAAGAGTTTGGGACTTAGCACGCGGAACTCGCGCAACATCTCCAGCTGCATTCGCAGTGAGCCTACCGTGAACACGCTGGTTGCCGTCACATGTTGCGAAATCTCGTGTCTCTTACGAGTAATTTGCACGTCAGGCGGCGGCGGCATCACAACGCTGCCACTCGGTATGTTCAAGGACAAAGACCCTTCAGCACCCTGCAGGCCTCTTGTCCTCGTCGTTTCTTCCCCGTCTTCAATATGTTTTTGTCTCATTCTCGCCGCAATCTGCTCATAGTATATTTGGAGCAGTTTGTCTCGCTGAGAGCGTAGCCTCTCACTGTCAACACTCTCCGGCGACTCTCTCGACAGAGTGTTGCCCGCCATCCCAGCTAAAGCGCTGGGCGGATTCTCTGTGACCGTAGAGGAAGTCAGCATCGAGGCTGCACCAGGCCCCAAACTGGAAGGTGAGGCAGGTCGAGAGCTGCATTGACCCCCTGTGCCGCTATCTCGTTTAGTGCGGGCGAAGAGTTTGATGCGCGCCATGTCTGTCGCATGCTGTATCTCGTCCATCGACGCCTCATCTAACCCCGAGACCGTCGTCTGCGCCTCCCCCACCGCCTTGTTGCTCTGCTGCGCGTTCGAAGTTACCAGCAGTTCCTGGAACTTCTCCACCACGAAGCCCTCGTCATGCAGCAGCGTGAATGGCACACCCGTGCGCCATGCACGTACCGACATCTGCTCATCCTGCAAAGCAGCGGGGCCTACCGCATTAGCTGCGGCGTCGACATCGCGCGACGCCTGCGTCCCCATTTCTACTTGAAGATCGAAGCTTGGATCATCCGAGACAAAAAGGTAATTTTTAAAATTAAAAAACTAAATTTAGGTCGAACACGTAAGACTCTGGAAAACTGTTTTTTGGAACTGGGGTGATGCAGCCTCTCAATGTTCATCCTAAACGGAATTTAATGAATCCGTGCTAGTGCTTTAAAGTGTAAGCGCTTCAGAGGTTGGCTTGATCATGACCTAACTAGCTATACTCAGAGCCATGTAGGTACTACATTGATCATACAAGGCGCTACTTTGGTGATAATGTCGCCGCCGCTGCTGGTGGCTTTCAGGATTTGCGCGACAAGACATATATCCCAATTTAATTTTATATAGTGCGTAATGGGTTATAAAAAGCTATGCGTTTCGTCCCTATAAGCTGTTTGGTGCCACAACATATAAAGTTTTATGAGTTCTTGTTTGGTACCTCTATCCTTGACCTTTTATAAGCTTGCGCTGTGCCCAGTAGACACCAGTAAGATGCCGTCCACCACGGCAACACTTGGGCAGTGGCTCACTGCCAACCACGTCTCGACGCATACAAACATCAGTATGTCTGCACGTGGTCCCGCTGCAGTCGCGAAGCCGGAGTGCAGCACAGCCGCATTGCCGTGCGTATGATCGAGAGTAGGATCGGGACTTGTACCGTTGAGTGTATCGTAGGGCTATAACCCCCACTCCCACTTGATCTCGGCGACGTGAGCCAGGTCGACGCGATCACACTCGTAGCTACGATCATGGACAAGTCACCCGTTCTAAGCTCGAAAGCAGGATAGATCAAAGCTTCACGAATAAAGCAATATACGTAAGTGTAGCACCGGCACGCATCCTTCACCTTGGTCATTAAATGTTGTAGCTTGAGTAGAAGCGTCTGGTGATGGCGGACCGCTGTCGTAGCATTTGTAGTTGAGGCACTTGCCTGGGGTGGCGCTGTGGTAATGTCTTCACTGTCCTTGCCGTTCTCGTCGCCTTTAGCGTCCTTAATCACAATCGGTAGGACCTTCATGGTCTTACGAAAGGGCGCAAACTTCACGACAGCAAACGCCTTTGTCATAGTGTCAACCACCATGTCCTCGGTACCAATGTGTTGCACAGTGACCTTCTTTAGCTCCACCCTACGTCGCACCATGTGGTACTTGTTGGCAATGTGCTTCGACTTCGAGTACTTGCCTGACTTGGTGCTCAACGCAATCGCTCCCACGTTGTCACCCAGCAGCAATGGTGCTGGATGCTTCCATACTAGCTCCTCGCATAGTCCAGCTAGTCACAGTAGCTCCTTGGTAGCTTCTGACATCGCCACATACTAAGCTTTACAAGTGCGATGATACCCTGCTTCCGAGAAGCATAGGCAATTACATTGCCACCCAGTATGATAACGTAGCCGCTGATACTTCGACGATAAGCAAGATCGGTTGCGTAGTCAGCACCGAAGTAGCAGCAAATGCGAACACTCGTTCCAGGTTGCACGTCCATTACAAGTCTGTAGTCCTTCGTAGCCTTGCGGTAGCGCAGTACCGCGTTTGGCTTGGGCAAAGTGCGAATGATTGTAGTTCGCTAGGGCCTTGCAGAGATGTCGCGTTGCATGTGCAATGTCAGGCCACGAGGCACTGACGAGATTCTACAGTGTACCTACTATACTAGTTCTCGATAAGGCAGGTATTCTATGCTCGTAGTCACCGCCGTTGTCGAAGGTGTCGCCGACTCAGGTGTCTTGCAAACCGACATGTAGAAGCGCTCGAGGATCTCCAGTACATACTGCCGCTGGCTATAGATAATCTCTCGGCGCGACCGATTGATGAGGATCTCAACCCCTGGAGATACCTGACCGCACCCATGGTAGTCAGCTCAAACGTCTCCTGCAAGTAAGCAGCAAATTCCATGTATACTTCATGTGGTACCATCATTAATAGACCATCCACGTAAACCGTCAATAAAAACTTCACTTCACCGATTCAGTGCGTACAACCCACAGTCAGAGTCGATACGATCGAATCCCATCGTCATCAACTTTGCATGTAGTGTCTTGTTCCAAAAGTTCGATGCCTGCTTCAAACCGTACAAGCTCTTGAGGAGCCCCAGATGCTTCATCGGTAGTCTGTTCAGTGTGGCAACTATATGCAGTAGTGCCTCGCCCCGCAGATAATTTGGTTCACTCGGAGCACTCAGTATTGCCCGCACCCGCGACATCACTATGCCATTTGCTCTCTCCATAATTATGTCCTGTTGTGGTGAATATGCGCTCGTGAATTGTTGCTCGACACCGTTCTCTGCACAGTGGTTGGCCAGCTCAGTATTCGCAACCTCGCCACCTTGGTCCGACCGCAATCGTTGAGCCGCAAGTTTAGGTAGCTATGTCTTCAGTTGAGTCAACAACTCCTTGATGTACCATGTCGCCTCACTCTTCTTCTCAAGCAAGTACGCTCACTTATACAGTCCTGGCCAAAAGGATAGCACACCCTATAATTTTCCTCATATCTCGACCAATTATGCGAGGGTTTCAAAGCAAAATTGGTCACATAAAGCAAACGCGAAATCGGCCAACCAAATTTGAGGGAAATCAGAACAATTTTGAGATCCTTTCTACAGAAGGGTATTTGCGCGAGCCTGACCAAAAGGATAGCACACTTTTAGCTGTGTTTAAGTATGTATATTATGTACATATGATGTGGTGCAATGTGATTTGTACGGGATGGAGCGCTTCAAGGCGCTTTGGCGAGCTATGGTACGCCTGTTTTTGCTGTATAAAGGACCTATATTGGTCTGGAGCGACGTTCTTGATTGAAGTACATAGGCTCAGCACGAAATGGCGAACGTCCACGTACTTTACGTCCACACTGAAGTCCTCGCTGATAAAGATTCAGCTGCATCTGATTCCTGTATCTTTCGATATGTCCTTGGCTTCTGAGTCTGTCCGAACGGATCCCTTGAATTCTCTCTCCAAGCACGAGCAGACCCTCTTGTGATCCACCCTTGTTGTACTTCGGCTCAGGCAAAGGCTCACCATTCGACACGCTATTCAGCTCTTGACTGATGAGGAACACCTTCTCCCAGGTGGGTACTGATCCTTGAGCCTGCACACCCTCCCACCGGCGCTGTACAGCGCCCGTCACAAGTATCTGCACTGCTTGTTGAGCTGCAACGTCAGCTTGAACAGGTACTGAAGGCGACTTCTCTTCCAGGGGCACTTGACCCCCACAGCGACAATCCAGCATTAATTCTTGCGCGTCACTCTCACCTTGAACGACTTGCACATGACGAACAAAGCCAACGAGGAAAGCAGGCGGCTTCCTGTTTTGCTTCTTCTCTGCCAACTTCCTCGCTCGTCCAGGCTTGAGCGGCCTGCCTGTCTGCTCAGACCACTCAGCGTACCAGTGACCATCACCATCACAGTTGACGCACTGTGTACGCTGCTTCTTGTCCGCCACAGCCTTCACCCCCGCTGCAGCTTGCTGCGTTTGTGGCTGCTGCCGTTACTCCTGCTTGCACATTGGCCGCCCGCGACGTGGGCCGCCTGCATGGGGCGTGCCTCAGCGGCAACCGGTTTTGACTATAGCTCGAGCTGGCTGCGCGGGTGCTCAGCCGACTGGAGACGCTGCAACGCCTGCGTGAGCCTCAACGATGTTGCGGTCATTGCTGTAAACCTGTTTGCGTGCTCTCATCCGAGGGCGCGGAACACCAACACGACATTCGACAGCAACATAATGGCGTGTTGTCATTTCGCATACTCGCGCAAGGCCTGACGCAGCATCGTCTCGATGTCGTCGCCGTACACCGTCACAGACGCGCTCGTCTGCAACATCCTCGTCATGAGATCTCGCAGCAGGTAGTCGGGGTTGATTCCGTCGCCGGCCTCGAAGTGCTTGGTGATGTAAGGCCACAGGATGGACGCAGTCTCCATGTTGTCCCTCATCGCATCAATCTTGAACGTGAATCTCAAGTCCACCGACAACGACAGTGCGAGCGCAGAGAACGCCTTATTCTTGCGTGCACAGTACCATTCGTTGTGCTTGGGTTGTTGGTAGACAAGCACAGCGTCAAAGCACTCACCACCGTACGTAATAGCGCCAAGCGTACGTGGATCAAAGTGTAGCGGCACTTCACTGCCCCACGCCTTGCAATCAGCCTTGGTCACGAGCTTAAGCAGCAGAACGCCCGGGGAGTTGCGCAGTGCCTTGGTATAATCCGCCAGTTCCTTGTCGTCGTATCTCCCGCCGGGGAAGGTGTTGTCCATGCCGGCTTCTTCTCGCCAGAGCTCGCTTGCCCCATCGTCTTGCTCTTCTGTCTGGGGCGGCGGTTGGTGTTGGACAGATTTCGTAAAGTCTTGAATACCTTCATGCAACCTGTTGACCATCCGTAATTTGAACTAATGAGTGAATGAGACGCTCAACATCGTTATGCGCAGTGGTGCTTCATTGCCAGCAGTCGCACTTCCGGTCAATCCTTGCGATCCTTGGCTTTGATTCGACGAAGCTTTTACCTGGTCTCTCGAATCGATGTTGTTCGCACAGGTCGACACGTCAGTCGAAACCGGCGCCCCGATCGGGTTTATGACCTGAGGTGACGCAGAGCGCGTCACCGAGCTGCTCTCAAGCTATCTATCGTTTCTTAGAGTATGTGCCATGGGACAACTGACACTATAGTAGCAGTAGACGCAAGAACAGGTAGAAGATGTACGTTGGACACAGTGGGTGCCGGGGAAAAGCTCGGCAGGACCGTGACGTTCTGGAGTGGGGCAGTTGTTTGCTGCTGATAGCAAAAGCTGAAGTGAAACACTGCCACACATCCGGACACCAGCGTTCCGCAAAGTAGATTAGCTCATAACATCTTCAAGTAAGTCTATAGTAGACATCAGTAAGATGCCGTCCACCACGGCAACACTTGGGCAGTGGCTCACTGCCAGCCATGTCTCGACACATACAAACATCAGTATATCTGCACGTGGTCCCGCTGCAGTCGCGAAGCTGGAGCGCAGCACTGCCGCGTTG